CCGGGGGGCTGGAGGGGCCGCCGGAGCGGTGGCGCCGGAGGCTCCCGCGCGGAGGGGGGGCTGGCCCTCAGGCAGCGGAGCAGCGGGGGTCCCGGCGCTGCGGCCGCCTCCCTCGGGGGCTGCTGCAGGTGGCGCGGGCGGAGCCAGGCGAGCGTCTCCAGGGTCGATTTTGCAGCTTATTTAGCCTTACGCTCCTGCAAGCAGATGCCGGTGGGATGGTAACTGCAATTACCCGATTTCTGAGGGCGCTTGCACCTGCGCCTGCCTCTTCAGTGAGAACAGATTAACCCGTACTGGCCAGTAGAGATCTAGGTGGTAAGGAGAATGGAGAGCCCAAGAGGCGTGCAGGCTACGTTGTTGGGATCGCACAGGTGCAATCCACAAACTCGCCCCCTTCTGCCACTACCACCCGCCCCCCAGGTAGGCCTTTCCAGTGTCAAAGTCCTAAAAGACAAAACGTGTGATTTGACACTAGGATCCTAAAAATACATTCCTACGTTTATATTAGCAAATATGTTTAAGCTTGCTTCTTTGTTCGACTTTCAGGACTGTTAAAGTTTGTAGAAGCTTCTGTTGAAATGGGAGGAAAATGGTCCTCTCTCCCTTCCTCATTACTGTACATTTACGCAACAGCACTTGTGTTCCCAAACAAGTGGAAGAGGGAGGTGGAGTATACCCTGGGTGCTGTACAAATGTGTATAAGCTGGGTTTTTTTCATGTGAATAAAGGCTCATTTGTATTAAAACGCTTTGCAATATAAGTAAATTTTAAATTATTAAGCCAAAAGGGTCCAAGCCACTGGTAAACCTAAGTATTTCAGTGCTGGCAGTTCATCTTAACAGGATGAAAACTATTTTAAAACTGGCATAACTGGACCAACGGTGTTTTTCTGATGTGGATCAGGTTAGGACTGAGGAAGGATGTGATCCAATGAAGAAAATTAATAAGCAAAGCTAATGTTAATCACAGCATATGTTTTAATTTAGATGATGTGATATGTCAGAGAGTTGATGAGTACAAATCTTGGTGGTAACCAAGAATGGAGAGCCAAAGAGCTATGTAGGCTAGAATTCATTGGGGAATATGTGAGCTTATGCAAATAGTGCGATAATGTAAATCTTACCTATGCATAAATTGAGGCTAAGATACTTAACTTTCATGCAATTGTCTGTGTAGCATTTATGTTGGTGTAAGATTCTCCTTTAAGTACTTGATATGAAGCAGGTGACAAGTATGATATGAGGTAGAAGTGTGTTATGAAGTAGTTAGGCTGAGAAGAAGCAGAGATTAGCTATTGGGTATAATTCTGATTTTTAAAAGGACTGCCAGTGTGTTTGAAAGTTAGGTATGGTTTAGGTACTTGGAATTGGGATGCAAATGGATAAGAGTATTAGTATTAAAACACTATTGTTTTAATCAACATTTTCCTCGGATATACTCCTGTGTTTTAAATAGCAAGAGTGGTGTCGGAAAAATGCTTTTGATACCAAAGGGTGTGTTTGTGGTAAGACAATGTATTTCCTCAAATTATTGGAAGGTAGTTTGTGGAGATGATAGGAACATAAACCTTTCAGGCGCAAACTGTTCTTTATGCTTTTTCTGAGCTTGTCTGTGTTTTCTGTCTGTATTGTGTGAGCTAAGAAAATAGATTATTTCTCCCATTAAACTTGCTTGCTTTTGGTGTTCTCTGCATCATTTGATGAATACACCCTGTCTCGCTGCATATGTGAATCTCTGTACCCTTAGTTGGAATAGGTCTTAGGTATTTGGGCTGGAATGGAGTCCTGTGGGTTCCCCTTACAAGCCATACGTGGATATCACGTCTTTCTTTTTCACCTGTGTCACCACAGGCGTCTGTGACCATGGGATTGCACTGGAGGCTGGCTGTGGTATTATGGTAACTCTTCTCAAGACCCGATGAACAGTGGTGCGAAGCCTCTGCCAGTTTCCTTGCAGCATGTGACAGTGCTGTCTCCTTGTTATTTTATGTATACTGCTGTTGGCTACTGTCTGCATGCTTATCATTGTGTCCATCATGCAATGACAGAACTCTGAAACAGCCCTGCTCCCTGTCATTCTGTGGCCAGCAAAGCTGATGAAATGTGAAATGTTGGAGTATGTTGGAGTGCCTCCTAAAGGCAGCTATTTTATGGCTTGTCATTATGGAAATGCTAAAAAAAAAAAAAAAAGAAATCTAATAACTGTGCTGGGATTGTTTAGATCAAAAATTTTTTTCTGAGAATCTGGAATAGAGGATATATTCATGTGATAGAGAATATGGTTTTGTAGACATCACACCAGTTGTGAAGAGCTTTGTATTTGCAAATGCAGGTAAACCATAAGTTTGTGGATCAGATGGTCTCCTTCAACATCCTCTCTCTCATGGACATGAGGGAGTCTTCATGGTGAACCTTTCTTTGGGCTAATTGGCCTCCAGAACTTTGCTAGAAGCAATGTTGAGTACACCTGGCAGAATGTGGAAGACAATCATCTTTTCCATGTTGAGAAAAGATTTGTATGGTAGAACCCAAACTTAACTCTGCACCTCACTTCGTCTTTTGTTTTGTTGTGACTCTCTGGCTGGGAAATGTTACTGCAGTAGTTGTTGTTGGGAAGTGTCTTAATGATCTTAATTAAGATCAGACCAGTGTATCTGGTCTGCTCTTAATTCTACCACCATGTTTTGGACATTGCTTTCCAGGCTTTTTACCTGGGCTGCCAGGTGTATACCTTAATACACATTTTGCCTTTTTGTATTTCTAAATTAATGATTTTCATGTCGTGTTCTCCTTTAACTCGATAACTTGTATTTTGTTACATTAATACATTTGTGTGTTGTATACCTATGTCCATTTCTTAGTTATACAATGTTTGGTTTTTGAATGCTCTTTTCATATTTTATTTTTTAAAGCTTTTTGTTAGCTGCTGACTTTATCTCTGCAGCATTAATATGCTTGGATGTCAGCATGCTTTTCCTGATAGAGTTCGACTTCCGCTCAGCTGAAATATCACCAAATTAAGGTATAGGACTTAATTTGTGTGTATGCAGATAGTTCTAAAATGCCTTCATAACTCCCTGGGTTTATCATGCAGGTAATTCACGAGATGGCATTTTCCTCTAGTCTCATGCATTTTGAAGCAGGCTTTGCCACAAGGCAGAAAGTAGTTCAGTTTTATAAACCTCAGCTTGCTTTGTCTCCTGATTTGTAGAGCTATTGCATGACTGATGAAAGTCTCTAAGAATTATCCAGGTGGAGATGATTCCATTCAAAGCACAGTAGGCCGGATGCTCTTTGTAGTGACTTTCTAATTTGTATTATATTTGTGTTTGGGGTTGTCCAGATGTCAGAGACACAAAACAGTGACCTGGCTTTCCCAAGACTTGAAAAGATTTATTGTGCTATTCATTGCGCTATTAACTGTTGTTAGATTTTTTTTTTTTTTTTTTAACCCACTCCTTGAGTCGTCATCTTACATACATTTCCTCATTTGATCAAAGACTGAATTTCGGAACTCAGTGACAGGAAAATATCTCTTGACTGCTGTTTCCATAACATTCTGCCACCAGTACTGAAAGTGACAAGTGTTCATTGATCGAATTGCTTTTACAGCGGTTTCTAGGGCAACTAGAACACCTAGCCACAAAAATGAATTTTGTAGAACAAAAGTAGCACACAAAGACAATGCTAGCGCTACCATGATTACCTGATCTTTCTGTAAAAGTAAAAAAAATAATAGAAACCCCACAGTGCCTTAAAATACATTGCAAATGAGGCATTCCATTTGTTCCATTGTCATGGTTTAACCCCAGCCAGCAACTAAGCACCACGCAGCCACTCGTTCACTCCTCCCTGCTCCCAGTGGGATGGGGAGAAGAATCAAAAAGAAAAAGTAAAACTTGTGGGTTGAGGTAAGAATGTTTTAATAACTGAAGTAAAATAAAATATAATACTAACAATAAAAATAAAAATAATTTTAAAATATATTAATAGTAATTGTAATGAAAAGGAATATAACAAAAAAAAAAGAGAAAAAAAAAACCCCAAGAAAAGACAAGTGATGCACAATGCAATTGCTCGCCACCCCCTGACTGATACCCAAGCAGTGATCTGCCCCACCCAGCCAACTCCCCCCAGGTTTATATACTGAGCATGAAGTTCTATGGTATGTAATATCCCTTTGGCTAGTTCGGGTCAACTGTCCTGGCCATGATCCCTCCCAGCTTCTTGTACACCTGCTTGCTGGCAAGGTATGGGAAACTGAAAAATCCTTAACTTAGGATAAGCACTACTTAACACACTGATGTTTTAGTTGTTGCTATCGACCTTATTCTCACACTAAATCCAAAACACACTGTACCGGCTGCTAAGAAGAAAATTAACTCCATCCCAGCTGAAACCAGGACATCTGTGAAGCATCTGCCAGATTTTATGTGTACCTCAAAATGCAGGAACTCTAAAAATTGCATTTGATGCAAAATGCAAACTTCTTAGGTTTTATCTGAACTTTCCAAATTCTCTCTGAGATGTGGAAAGAGGCAAAGGATCACTTTGAGTCCATACAAAACAACTTGGGAACTCTTCGTTCTGTCTGGAGGGGAAAAGAAAGTCTTTATTTTTGTCTGTAGAGATGCTACTGTTGAAAAACTTTTATGTTACCCAGTCTTAATAACTGCAGAGAAAATTTGTTAGCTAGATTTATGTGTGTTTCCCTCAGAAAGAAAAGATGAGAACTCATGAGTATTAGCTTCAAAATTTTTCTTTACTGCAAACCATACTGAAGTAAAGGTTTTTTGGGGTTTTTTTAATATGTCCCTTCTGATGATGGTAAGAAGATGATGCATTTGCAGTAAAATGTAAACCAAGCATGATTTCCTTGTAAATGGCATGTAGGAGTAGGGTGAAAAGAGACTGTCCAAATATACTTTGAATGAGCATGTCAATTATTGCTACAAAACCACATAAAGTAGAAGGTAGCTATAACAGAAATTATTTGAGATGTGCAGCTCACTGGTACATTCAGTCTTTTCACTACTCTGGGCCATCTTCTCTGTGTTGCAGGCTCAGAAGGAGCTGTAAGTGTTGTGGTGCATCACAACTTCTGTGCAACAGCATGGCGGTATATTGCATAGCAAGGTTCACTCAAAGGTCCAACAGCAGTAGCGGTAGGTGTATAAAAGTACTGAACATGAAGTCCTCATGGTGTGTGACAGCTTAAGATTTGAACCTCCTTCTGGATGCACAGACTTCCTGACTTAAGAACAGTTTCTTCCGTTGGTCTCCATTAAGATTGTTTCATCTTTGTCCAGTTGATAAGGCTCTGAAAATTCCCAGTGTCACAAATGTGAAAAGATAGACAGACATGTACTGCCGCAAACTTTGAAAAGTCCATCTTCAGGGCATGCTTTTTTCAGTTAGCAACCTGAAGTAGCCTTACTCACTGGAACTGACTCCTGTTGTGGCTCATTTGTAATTTATGTACCTCTAAGGTTTTAATATTGTTTCTCATCTCATTTTGTGTCCGTCTACCTTCTGTTCTGTTGTGAGGGGGAAAAGGAGTTGTTATGGTTGTTACGTTCAATTAGAGTGCAAGCTGTTTGAACTGCAGGCTTTAACATTTATTTTTTTTTGATCTCAAGTACGGTAAGGCTCTGAAATACTTATGTCTACAAACAGCAGATTGTAAGTAAGATCAAATTGTAGCTGCTTTGATGACAAGGGCTCTTAGATCAGGACCCAAGCCCAATGTGTTCTTGTATCACAGACTTTTTCCATCTCTGCTGTGCAGATTCCTGATATGGGAACTTACTGTTTTCCTGGAAGGTATTTCACACAGGTTCTCAGGGAGGTTAAGATTAATAAGTGTCCCTAGTCAAACATAAGTTCATTGTGCAGGCAACCACACACTGAAAGCTTACATCATTGTATTTGTGTTTCGGTCAGAATACTTCCGACTGAGTGATAGTTTTGGAGCTCGTAAAACTTGCATCTAATGTGGGTTAACCTCAGTTCCTGTAGGCAGTTTTCCTCAAGTCACTCATATTACTGCTGCTTTGGCATGTATGCATGTGCCCCCGTAGGTGTCAGAATAGACTGTGGCTTCACTGCCTTCAGGGGTCAAATTGACTGTGTACGGTAATTTTTGCTTAGGAAGCAGTATAGGTGTGTTTGTGTGACAGGGGTCCGGTTGAAAGGCAACTGACCGAGAAAGTACAGGCTATACGTTCCCAGAGGCAATAGTGTCATCTGAAGGTTTTATTCACATGAAGTAAAAAAGGCAGCTCTGTTGCAGCAGCTAACATTCCTGCTTCAATGTGCGTGTCATTTAAAATTACCGTTTGTCATGTTCTTATCCTTCCTGCATAATTTACATACTGGAAGCAAATACTAGAATTATTTTGGTGATATGTCTTTTAGATATGTCTTGTTTGTATTGCTTCTCCTTGGGTAAAGACATGGAATCCAAGTGGGCAGGGCTCAAAAATATGAATCATGTTTAATAAATTTTAAGTACTTATAAATACAAATAGAAAAGCTGTCTAAAAATTAAAATGTTTTGGAGTCCAGTGTCACAGTATCTCCTACAGTCAAGAAGCATGTATGAGGGTGTTGCGTTAAAATTTAGATATTTCTTCTGTTTATCGATGTAACGTTGCAATTTACAATACTGATAATTCTCAGAAAATTTAATAACTTATTGCTGGATGGAGGGCTTCTTGTTTGGTTTGGTTTGGTTTTTTCCCCATTAAAATTAAATGACTATTTTCATTACTGCAGACTGAAGGGTGAACTGTAAGTTTGGAATATGATGGAGGGATTGAGCTGCTAGCCCTGGTACAGACTGGTTAATCAAGGTTTATGTTAAATTTGCATCTAAATCTTTATTTAGCTTGTATTTGTAATATATATCCCCATTGCAAAGGCAGGAGGCTTAGTGTTTATAGTTAGAGGAGGTGCTTGCTATCTGTTTTGACCTCATGAAGCGCATAGGGATGTGCTTAATGTGACGTGATGGCATTATGAGATTGTATGTGATAATGCGTGTAGATTTGCATTCGAGGTATTCGTGTTCTAGGATTACTTTTGCTTGCTTGACAATTCTATCCTTGTTAAGGTAGGTGGGGGGAAACCTATGAAATGCTGTTCTTTCCTTATGCTTTTGAATTAAAGTAATTGTTTAGTTTCTCTTTGTGTGTAGGCTAAAAAAAGACTCTGAAAAAAACAGTAGCAACATACTAAGCATGAGCTTATTCAGCATAGTACAGTTATCCTATTTGAGGCATTAAATTTACTGTAGGTTTTTCTTTCCTTAGATTAAATGCCTATTTCAAATGTGGTTATAAGCCACCACCTGCTTTGGAACCCTGATCACGTCATGACTAAATATTTAATTTAATTATAGCTTTTGCTTCCACTCAGGATGTAGACATTTCTTTTCCTTTGGGGGTAATATGAAAGCCAGACTGCAATGGCTGTTAGAGATTGTGCACATTGTAAGGAGTGTTCCCTGCAGTAATGAATTTATGCACTGCGAACCTTATTCAGCAGGAATTATATTGTTAATGGCAGGGTGTAGTGTTACAGGAGATCTAAGACTAGTTGACTTGTGTACACTGATGAAGCATTTCTATTCCAGCTCTGTCTCTGAAGATCTGGGTTGCAGACGTGGAGAGTTTAGCAGAAAGCATTACGGATCTGTGGAGCTTGTAAGTTTACGTAGCCTGTCCTATGATTTTAGCAGCTTATAATGCAGAGCTCAAATCCTTTTCATTTCCAAATAAAAAATTGGATCTAGTTTGGAAAATGTGCTTTCTAAGCTTGACTTGAAAGTTATAGGGTAATAAAAAGAGGCTTCAGAATAGATACATGAGACCTGTGCTAGGAAATCTTTTTTGCTGCCTTATTTATGAATATTTCATCGTAACGGGACAGGTAGTCTTATATAAATATTATGTTTACTCCCAGATGGAAATTGAGCCTTTTTTCCTCTTATAAGTTGAAGACTGCTAAATATTAGGGTAATATTTGATGAAGTACCTGCAATTATGCAAGTTAAAAACTGTGTGTGCTCCTATGTGTACATATATATGTGTGTATGTGATTTTTATGTGTGTATGTGATTTTATGTGCCTCAGAGTAGTGGGAGGGGGTTTAAAATTAAAAGAACTAGTCAGAATAAGGATATCAAAACCTGTTCCCTAAAATCTGTCAGTTATTCTGCCTTTTCTTCAAATTCAAAGCTAAGTTGGTACTTCATTTTTCTCATATATAAATTTCTTCTCTGCTGTGAAAATAGCAGTACATCAGCAGTTAAAATAACATCACTCTGGATACAAGGCCATAATGAAATTACATAAACTTACTATAGGAAAACATAAGTGTGGAGGGGTAAAGAAACTGAACTCCAGCTCTCTTATTGTGGGAAGAAATCACTAATTTTCTACCAGCTATAGTTGTAATTTAAAGTTCTTGGATAGCATATTTATTAATATCTGTGTAATTTGGTGGCTTCGTTGCTGGAAGTTGCATTGGAAGAACACCAGGTATCTTTCTTTTCTTTCCATAAATTCCACATATTAGATACGATGTTTTAATCAAAAAAGCAGATGAACTGCTTTCTGCTAAGAGGCTCCTTCATTACTGGTACTTAGATTCTTTTGCTCAAAAAGAAGAATTTATTGGTAATTATAAATTCACAGTAAGCTCACACAAATGGTCTTGTCTTTTGCTTGATTTTCTTAAAATTCTGCTAGTATTTTATGAAAGTGGGGGTTTTTATCTTTTGGAGTACAAACATATAAAGGTGCTTGTTGCCCTTTCAAATTTCTAAATGTTTAATATTGAACCTTTCCTGCTTAATATTTTCCACAGCAGCATCTCAATTGCTCAATTATTTCCACCTTTTATTTATTACAACACAGTTATTTTGTCTCTGCCCTAAACATTTTTCCTATGTCTTTCCCACTGGTGTAATACAACCAGTTGTCCATATAATTTCTCTTACAGTTTATACAAGGCACCAGGATATGTTGGAGTTTTTGCCATGTTAGTTTATTCCTGACGTAGCCTCAGAACACTTCAAAGCAAGGGGCAAAGAGAACTTCAAAATGTTGTGATAACTCTTCCACCAAGTAAAGGGAGAAAGTATTATGCTGGAATAATATGGATTGCTAGAGGGAAGCAAGGAATGATATACCATTGCTTTATTGTTGTTCAGATCCCATTTCATAAGTTTGGTATGGTATGTGACAATCTCATTTTTTACGTTTTGAGAGGAGTAACGTGCAATATCATCGGCAGCATTCTCCTGTTCTTCTCTTGTAGGGATCCTAAGCAGTGTTGCTGAATGCATCAGGACTGTTGTGTTATCCTATGTTTTACTGACTTCTCAAGAGCTTTTTTAACAACAAAGAGAGTTTCAGCGTTCTGGGAATCCCTGGATTCCCTTATAAAAAGACCAGGCAGTCTTTCTAGAGTATTTATGAAACTGTTGAAGTCTTCAGGTGGAAACAAGCCATATTTTCTGACGTTAATACTGAAAGCAGACCAGGACATCTCCTGTACCGTATGTAGTTCAGTATGATCACTGAACATTATGTTTGGAAATTCTTGCTGCTCGCTGTCTCCTGAAAACATCAATAAATAAAATGCAGTTAAAGACTGCTAGTCCCAGTAATACTGCCAACAAGTAGAGTTTTAGGCTTAGCAAGGCTGAGAGGGCAAGAATCATCATGTCTGTAAGACCCATTGTTTTGAAAGGAGCAAGCTTCAAGAGCAATTTCTGGAAAGTGGACAAGTCCCTCTGTAGGCATTCTGTGTGTTGATGCAGCCAAACTCTGAGACAGGAGAATTTCTGATTAGTACTGGGATCTACCAAAAGAGTGAATGGCTCTCCCGCTCGTGCTTCCTTCAAGTTATAATTGGGTCATTCCAAATCTGTAGTCAAATCAGTAATAGCTGTGCTGATCCCTTCTGTGTGGGTAGTCATATGATGCCTGGGAGAAGAAGAAACCATAGTAAGCTTTGACTGCTGATCATATGGCTATTTTTGGAACTAGAACCTCTATCTTAAACTCTCTTATAGCTTATATCTAGTGATGCTGATGGAGCCATTCAAAGAGCTGGACGGTTCCGTGTGGAAAATGGCTCTGCTGGTGAGGTAAGTGGCTAAAGATACTCATACAAAACTGAAAAAATAATTCAGCTTCAGTTATTCTTCACCACTGAAAGATGTATTTGCAGTCAGTTACTAAGGAAGAGGACTTGAAAAATGCGAAATAATATGAATGTAAGAATCTAAGAGGAGGGAGATGGTGGGGTTTTTTCCCCACAAAGTCTAGCTTAGCTCTTCTTTTAAGAGTATGTAATCTTGACAGTTTAGTTTAAGGGAAAAGCTGGTATTTCGTTTAGTTTTGGTAACATTTTGCTCACCTGGTAATGTTAGAAGAAAAATACCTATCTTATCCTCTGTGTAACACTTTGCAGTCTCTAGGTCATCACTTTATATTGGTGTCCTGGTGATACTACGATGTTCAAGCTGACCTTTGTGCTTTTAAGTTTAATCCTTGGTGTGATGAGGTCATAGCTTCACCCATCCACCCCCCCCGCCTTAGTTGTCTTTTGGCAGCTATGCTTACATTTGCATAAGAGATAAAGAAGCTGAGTGGAGCCTGAGAGAGTCATTTCCCCCAGATTCCTGTGCTGTTAAACTCATGGTGTGTCCCTGCAACCACGAAAGTGACGCTTAGGTTTCTACTTATCTTCATTTTTTTATCTTCCTTTGCCAAGCTTTTTCAGCTGTAAATATCATCTTAATACTGAAAGAAAGAAGACCTCATATTCTTGAAATATATGTAAGGTCTTGGTAAGCTTGTATTGAACTAATATTAACAGTAAACTTTTACTGTAGTTTGCATCAGCACTGGCTGCCGAGTTTGAAGCAATCTAACTATTCTGCATTGATTCTCTACAGGGTCATGTTCTGTATACTGTTTTTTTAGTTCAGTTTCATGCAGTTCAAGAGCTAATTAGCTTGTATCACAGAAAGATTCTCTGAGTGGGTGATGAATGGCCACATGGTCAATGGATGCAGGGAATGGCTTTTTCTCTGCATATGTTATTTCTTAGTGGAAAAGGACTTGAGGGATGGTTGGGAATCTACCTTAACCGGCCAATGCAGAAACAACACTGAAGAACTTCCAGAGCATGCTCTGGTCTAGCAAGGAGTCCCTAAGGGTTATTTTGGGAAGAACAACTGAGAAAATGAAACCTGGAGGCAGAATTCTGTTTAATTTATTTATTTTTAAGTTTTAAAAACACTGGTCTTCAAATTCCACATTGAAATATCTTCTTTTCAGTGGAATACTAAGCTATTACCCGTAATGGGTAAGCACCCGTGTGGTGCTTAGTTGCTGGCTGGGGTTAAACCACGACACGGTGGTACAAAAGGCAAAGACTGTAGTTACGTAGAAAGAAAAGACAAAAAAAAGAAGAGAAGAGGGAGAAATTTTAATTTCAGCTGCACAACAACTGACTTCACAATAATTCCTTGTTTTTTAAAAAACAGTATACATGTAAAACTCTTCTAGTGGGTCAGCCACTCTTGATTGGCTTTTGCCTGTATTATGTTCTCCTTTTTTTTCACTCAGCATTTGATCTAACAGTCTCCCAATTCTATTTCAGAATACAGACTACACTCCGGGTACGTGGCACAGAACAGACGTGCATTTGGAAAACCCAGAATATCATACAAGATGGTATTTCAAATATTTTTTGGGGAAAGGTAATGATCTTTTTGTGAATGGATTGACGTTTTGATCAATAAAAATGCAATCTGGCTTTGAATTGCTATTATTTAAATATGGAAAAAAGTATGGTATTAATTTAGTATTAATAAATTTTCTGTCCTGTACAGAAAACAAGTTCTTGTTTCATGTATTTTTAACCTGAAGACAGAGGATGGGTTTCTGTAAGCGGCAGAACCCCTGCTATCAAAAAGGGATATTTTGGAACCCTTCTTGGCCTTGAAGGCTGTACCTATCTCTTGGTTTTTTTACACATCTGTATATAAATACATAGTTATGTAGATTAGTATATATTTTTACATATAAATGCATATATTTATTTACACATTTATACGTGTGTGTGCATGCGTGTGCTTGCACGTGCGAGCAGGTGTGTGCGTCTTCTTTACAGTGGATAATGCTTCTTGTTTTTCCCTAACAGTTCATCAAAATTATATAGGTACAGATGCAGAGAAGAACCCTTTCTTTCTGTCTGTTGTACTGTCTGACCAAAATAATCAGCGTGTTCCTCAGTACCATTCAATACTTTGGAGAAAGACAGTAAGAAACAAATATTTATCTGCTGCTCTGACTTTTTTGTTGTTGTTTTCTTGTTTGTTTTCGGTATGCCTGTCATACACTTTTTTGCTTTTTTCAGAATTTCATTACTTAATACATACTTCTCATTTTATACAAAAAGAACATATAATTCTACCATAGTAGATAAAACTAAACTAGCTTTGTAGGTAACATTACACTAAACTTTCTGACAGAAATCTATGATGCCACATATTTTTTAATTGTTCTTACCTGCAGCTCTGTGTTGTTTTAGAAACGTTGCCTAAATTGTTGTTGATGATGTCCTGCGATCAATTTAGGCAATGACATTATATTGCTTTTAGGATTTTCTTATACGTTAAGAAAATAGGCAGGTGTGATACTGCTTTCACTAATATTCTTTAATGAATTTTTTTCACTTAACGTTCCATAAGAGCCTATTATCCAAGCAATTGTATGCATGCATGGATCACTTTAAAAAAAAAAAAAAAAAAAAAAAAAAATAGTTTGTAATGTTCACTAGTTTCAGCAGCCCTCATACCACATGCCAAGGTAGTAAAAACGAAGTAAAAAATAATTTTGCACCATCCATGACTTTTCACATTCATTTTTTCTCCTTTTTGTTTTTTATTTTTCCCCCAAACCAGTAGTAAATAAGGCTAAGTAATACTAGCATGGTTTTGTTCTTTGTTTTTTTACTTAATTGTTTTTATTAATATTTCTATTTGAATATATAGAAAAAGTCAGTATGTCCTGTAATATCTCCTAGCTTTTTTTCTTTATAGGGTACTCAGAAAATATGTCTCCCTTATAGTCCCACAAAAACATTATCAGTGAAATCTATATTAAGGTATGTATTTACAAATAAGTTATCAGTTAAGATATTTGTATGCCTTTTCCTGTAATTCAGAGCTTGTGTTGCATGGTTTTCATGATAGATTTCTAAAACCAGTAGTAAAAACAAGTTTACAAATCTTAATCATTGAAGGCAGCAAAAAGTGGTTTTAAAGCCTGTTCTGGAATAGACAAAGCGACAACTTAGAAAGGAGAAAAATTCTTAGCACTTTTTCTTCAGCAGAGGACTACTTTCAAGTTAATTGGAAAACAGGTGCTAAGTGGAACTGCAGTGGTTGAGAAGAAATATCTTTTTAAATTAGACAGACATAAACAGACCTAAGGAACAGCAGATTTTGACTAGAGAAGTGATTATTATGTGGCCCTAGCAGGAGGAAGCAAACAGGGAAGAAACCAAGACTGATTGTCTCCATGTAAGTCTCACTATGGTTGTGTTATACACAGTGTCAGTGAAGCTGAGAAAATGCCTTCCCCCAGCCAGAGCCTCTATGGGCATGCTTGTACTCTGTCCTGCCTATTTTGTGGCAGAAGAGAATATGAAGTGAGCAAGCCCAGCACCATTGCTATGTCTTTCAACATTGTAATCAGCTGAAATATCAGAGCACCTGTTTGCAAAGTGTTTGTTCAAATTTAATCTGCAGTTTTTATGACCTAATCATGTGGTGTGTTTTCTCAAATCCCTCACTGACAACATCTTCAAATGCATCTTCTGTAAGGATTTTACGTCCTCTAGAAACCCATAAAAAGTGCCTTCATGTACGGAACAGGTAGTGTGTACCAGATAAATGAGCAGTCTACAGGTCTTCAAAACCTTTGATCCGTATAGAGTACGAGCAAATGTCTCTTGCTTGGTTGAAGCTTGTCCACTGGATAACACTGCCACTGCTGATGTGAGAGGAGAATTCTGGGAACAGGGCATGTGTTGTGATGTGAAGTCAGTACCACCAGATCTGGATTTTCCTACAACTGCACAAGATTTCTGAGAGGTCCCAGACCACTGCATTTGCCAGAGGGGCTAGGAAGCCATTGAGCCTCACTTCTTAATTCTGACTTCCTGGGCTGTGGCTCTGGTTTGTAGGGTCAAGATGGTGAGTTGAAAATACTTCAGATCTCTTCTTCATCTTCTTCATCGAGATAAGCTAAGTCCTCTCTTCTAACTCCTACAGCACTGGCTTGAATAGTGTTCCTAGTTGTCAATACTGCATGTTGTACCTGCATAAGCACCTGATCTTCCATGTCTGCCCAGCAATTGCTGAAATATCTCTTCCTAACATCCCTTTCTAACCCAGCCTTTCCCTCCACTCTCAGCCACATAGACATTTTTGGTCAGGCATCCCAGAGTGGAGAAACTTTGTCTTCTGTTGCCTAGGGTCATAACTTTTGCTGAATCACCCTCACATGTTCCATCCTGTGATGCTCCAGTATTTTTTCAGAGGGAAATGCGGGCTTGTTACAGATCTTGTTCCTCACTTCTCCCAGGGTCTGTGCCACATGCAGTCAGCTGGATAAATGTCATCTCCTTTTGCCCGCTTGGGTTTGGACTAAAATCTCTTCCCCGACTATTATTTTGCTTTTACAGTCCTTGAGCCTTCCCTCAGGCCTGATTGATATTCCTTTGACATTTCACCCTTTTCACAGCCAGTGTGAATCTAGGTACAGACTGTCTCAAAGAATTTGGGTTACATTAATAAACCCATTTTTTTCTAAATTAATTGGAACATTTCAATCCCTTTCAAAAGGAATTAAAGCAAATCCTGTCTGCATTATGTTCTAGCATAAGCGATGATGGAAGGATGCATCAGATTTGACCTTCTTGTTAGTTCACTGTGCCCCAGACAGACTGCATCCAGCACTCCGTGACATGCTGTGCAGTTCTAGAAATTAATGCTGGGGGAAAAAAATGGGCAAAAATAATAGTAGATGCAGAAACACAAGTTAGGAAAAAATGCTATAAATTGGGTATTTCTGTTTACTGAGGCAGTTGGTCTCGCTTCTTATTTAAATACTTTTTTCTGTTCTGTATGTGGATCTTTGGCCTGTGAATTGGGTACTGAACTCTCGTTTTTCATTTGACTTGCCTTGAATTACTTTAGAAGAGAGAGAAAAGCTTACAAAATAGAATAGGTTATTGAGTCCTCCTAAAATGCTCATAATGATTATGTATAAAGCCAAAGTGTGATGGAATAAAGCTCTGTGCTTTATAAGTAAATACAGTCAGTTTAAACCTGATGTCAGTTCAGGGTCTTACTAATTTCTGTTTTTAAAATCCAAAAGAAGTTTAGGAAGTCTTGGAGGTTAGTACTGTGGGAAAGAAAAGGCTATTTCACAAAACATTCCATGTAAGAGAGGCTCTTTAAACAATTCCTTTTGTAACCAGTTCTGACTGCAAACAGTTAGTAGTTTAATGTTGAAATGTATACTTGCCCTTCTATAAAGCAGTATTTCATTTGCATTTCAGTGCTATGAGTCTCGACAAATTTGAGAAGAGCCCAAGGGAGATTTTTCATCCTGAGATACAAAAGGTAGAGGTGACTTCTTTTTTTGTTTGTTTGGTTTTCTTTATTATTTTCTGGAAAAATAAGTCATTAAGTATTAATGCTACTAGTTTGTTTCTTTCAGTAGCAGGATAATAATGATGAGTAGGGTTACGTGGTACTACAAAATAAACTGTCTTTATCAGTTGAACTGGCCACTTCAGAACAAAACTTAAATATGCAAGGATGTTACAGTTTTATTTGTGTTGTCTTTAATACCACTGTGCTAAAGATATTGTTTTTTTTACAGGATTTATTGGTTCTTGAAGAGCAAGAGGTAAATGTAAACTTATCACTCCTAGCTCACAGACCCGTTCAATGAATACAGCTTTGTATTTGAAATATTTGCACTGAAATGCTTGAGACAACTTAGAAATCAATTGCTTATTGCAGCAAAAAAGTAGTATTTCTTTGCAACGTATGAGATAAAAAATAATTTTAACCACCAACTTAATATATCATATTAATAGGTTACCAACTTAGTATATCATAACATTCATAATCTATGATCAAAGGTAAATTATTAGGTATCTGCTACTTGAGCACATAATGGAATCGGTATGAAATGTATATTCCCATGGGTAGGATGTATACAAAGGTACGTGTATAAAAGTCTTTAGAGAAAACATTGTTTTAGGTCTTTTGTTTGATTGCCTGTTTATCATATAATATTTGGTTTTATTTCTCAGGGATCTGTGAATTTTAAATTTGGAGTCCTTTATGCAAAGGATGGGCAGCTTACAGATGATGAAATGTTCAGCAACGGTGAGTTTTTCCACCTTCTTCTTAATTGTTTTATTCATCCGAATAAAAAAATGGAGGACAGTGCCTACACGTGGAAGCCAGAAGGGAGGTGATGGTTATGTGAACAGTAGTTTTGTTAGGTTTTCATGTTCATCTTGGGTGAAAAATTGTAGTGTAGAATCTTCTATTTCTGTAAAAGGTTGCTGTAGGAAACCTACTATTACAGCTTGGAAGATACTGAAATTTCTTTTCTAGAAATAGACTATGTAACGTAAGATTTAGAAAAAGGAAGCAGTTGAAGCAGGCAACTCGAAATTACTTGCAAAAAGTCACTTTGTTTCTAGTTCTTTCACTCTTAGGTTTTTGCAGCATGATCGTGTTCTTCTATGCACTTGAACAGTGTCTTGGAGTTAGTAAAAGAGGTCACTGTTTAATGTCACATGATGATGCCTATTCTGCAAGGCTGGGATGCTGTTTCTTTAAAGGTAGAAGGCTTGGATGACATGAGGAGAAACTTACTCAGCTGAAACTTTGGTCCTCGTGTCCTGGGAGCAGGACCTGTTCCTGTATTTTGATTATTTTTTATAGGTGTTCTATTACTACATGTGCTTTTCTGTTGTAACATTTCTGCCTTCCACATGTAGAAACTGGAAGTGAAAACTTTCAAAGATTTTTGCATCTCTTGGGTGACACAATTACTTTGAAAGGCTGGACAGGCTACAGAGGAGGACTGGACACTAAAAGTAAGAACTCATCTGAAGCAAAAAAGGGGGGGAGGGGGCTGCAATATAAGTGTTTTAGCTTATTGGATGCGTATATTGTATATATTTTGGAAATAATACAATCCCAAAAGAGACTTCCTCTGTGCATGCTAAATGCTCTGCTTCACCAGGAAAAAGTCAGGTTAGCTTAAATCACTGGTATGGATTGCGGTTGAAGAAAAGTATTTATATGACCTGTATTTTCAAGGTGAACAGTTTCGTATTATGTTGGAAGGGGGTGAAGAATAACCTGATGCGTTACTTGCTTCATGATAGTAGGGCGTCATGGCTTGAAGGACCATGTGTGATTTCGGGAGGCTAGGTGAAGGACATCATAGGTTTTAAGATTGTGAGTATGCAGATTAGGTTGCAAACTTGGGTTTGAACCCACATAGAACATGCAGTGTGGACATTTTATAAAATGGATCAGAAAAAAGGATGATTAAAGAAGGTTTGGTAGAAGGACCTGAAATATCTTTTGATCTTTAGAAAACTTAAAGGACATATTTCTGCTGAGAATGTTGTCTTCCCTTGCAGATGATACAACAGGAACCTGTTCCATCTATACAGTTTTTCAAGGGCATGAAATTATGTACCATGTTTCAACCATGCTACCATATTCTAGAGAGAACAAGCAGCAGGTACATGGTTCTCTCTTTCTTTTTTTTCTTTTTTATTTTATTTATTTCTTAAATCACGAACTCCAAAACTTTAGACGAAAATAAGGGATTTCTTGCCTGTTAATAGTTTAGAAATATAAGTCTTAAGACTTTTTCCTATGTTTTTTTCCTCAATACTATACCTAATGCTGACGATTTCATGATATTTGTTGGAAGATAATGCATCATCTCATCTCTATTAAGGTACAAAAGACACTTGCAAAGAAAGTCAAAATTGATTGACTGAGAAGTGATTGAGTATTCTGTTATTCAGGTGACTTTTAGAGCTTCACTTCTGCAATTATCGTTACCTTGAATTTAGGAAGACTGGAAATTAGACTTGTGTGTGAATTGTCAGAATACTCACATATGTAACACACAGCTCATACTCAGGTAGCAATTTGTGTAGGTTCAAAGAAATTCTCCGTGTGAGCCTGTTAATGGCAAGCTTTGTGCATTTCTGTAAAGCGCTGCTGTTGTCCTCTCATAGATTGACTAGGTGGGTTCTTGGGTACTTGTTCAAATGTGCTGTCATCCATTGCTTGAACCTTTCTAGGTATTATATGATGAAAAAATACTTTATAAGCACATGCATTTACCTATACATCACACATCCATAATGATTTACCTAAAATTACTTGCAAATTACTTGTTTTACTATTTTCTTATTTAAGCAATAATTATATATTATGTATTATTATAATAATATAATTAGATTATATAATTATATATTGTCCTTCTTTTATTTCCATGTCAGTTTTCTCATGTTTTTGCCTTGGATTGATGACAAGATCACAGCAGAAACCAGAGGCCAATCGGGACATTTATTGTTTTTAAAGAATAACTCAGCATCAGAGTTTTTTTCCTTTTATTTCAAGTGGTGGATTTGCTTTTTTGGAATGCTATGTGTTCCCTGCCCAATTTGTGAATATTAATTATGGAAATTATGAGTGCTTTGCTAACTTAAAAATATGCGATAGCATAGCTGCTGTTTTAGCAGCTGCCTTCTGTATGCACCGTGGCATTGCTAGGTTTACTTGCTTATAGTTAAGTAATAATTTTATATTGGCTTCAATCATATTGACCATAATTTTCCTCTTTGCAGTTTAGGAATATTGTTTTACCATTCTCTCACAGAACTGTGAAGGTATTTATTTATGTCTTTTAAGTCATTGTGTCTGTCTTTTTTTTTCTTTTTTTTTTTCCTTCCCCTCCTTCTTCTTCTTTTTTTTTTTTCCTTTTTTTTCCTTTCTTTTTTTTTTCCAGGTAGAAAGGAAGCGACATATTGGAAATGACATTGTCACTATCGTATTTCAGGAAGGCGAAGAGTCTTCTCCAGCATTCAAGCCATCCATGATTCGCTCTCATTTTACACGTATCTTTTTCCTTACATTTTCTAGTGATTTTTTTTAATTTATTTTTTATTTTTTTGAAGATCAATATTACTTTTAATTCTACCCTAAGTCCTTCCTGCATGCTATTTATGGAAGTGAAAACTGTTTTAGAAAGGCAGTTGCATTCTTGCATTCTTTACCTTCAACTGCTTGACGAGGAGTCTCTAAGTCTGACTCATAAAACAATTTTTATGTTGAACCACTTACAAGATAAGGTCAAAACCAGAATGTGATTTTTAAATTGTATTTTTATTGAAGGCATTTATTTGGATCACTTTGCATGTTGAATTTTATACATTTTCATAAAATACAAATTCATAAAAATATTTCTGTTAGTGATGTGAATTAATTTGGCATTAAGTATTGAATATTGCTTTTTTAATGTTTAGACGCTGTTTATTTTAAATATTTATGTATTTTGGATCAGTGTTTCTCAAATCTTTCAGACCATAAACCACATATTGTCCAGATTTTGGCAGCCTGTGTTTTTCAGACTTTTGGTTGAAAACACTGTGAAGGCAATATGGTTCCAAAATCCAGCTGCCAATCGCTTGGGATTATCATGGGGTCACACTAGTGGTCCACAGATCCCAGTCTGGCATCTATTATGCTAGATGGAATGGGATGAAGAAAAATGGATGGAAAGAAGAAAATTCTTATTTCTATCCATGCTCTGTTGCTGACTTTTTGAAAATGATCGCAAAGCTTACGACTGCTAAACCTAGTTCTCAGGCTGACTAACTGCTGTTAGAACTTTCTTGCTAGTTTTGTCCATGGCTGGTCTTAGTTTTTAGATTTGAGCTCTTAATATTAACCTCTTTTACACTAAATGGAAGAAGTGACTAGAAGAAAAAGAATTCCACAATTAAAAAAAATCTTTAGATATCAGAGGAACCTAAATATTGTTAATAAGAAATGTTTACCAAGTCAGTGTACCTCTTCATCAGAGTGTCAGCATTAGTAAAAAAGGAATATTTTTTCCCATATTGCTCTTAGGAAGACTTGTTATGATGTAACTGATGCACCCTGCTCTTCAATTTTTGACAAACATTTTGAGGTTCAGCTGTCCTTGGTGTAACAATGAGTTGGAGGGGCAGATGTGGCCTAAATCCGTAAGGACGTGTTATCATTTAGGTCATTTTAAGTAACCCACAGCTAGTTGATGGAGTCCTATCACCTTCCTGATGTTTTCAGTTGACCTAGCCAGGGATAAAGGTGTCTGCAAGAAAACTGGTGGGTTGACACTGATCTGTCAGATGTGGTAAATCTCAAAGCTCACTGAATCTGTACTAGTGCTTTGTACTCACTTTCTTACATGCCATAGCACCCCTTTTTTGTTACTTCTACCATGGGAAAAATTAGCGTACAGGTATACCACTGTGCTTTCCTGTACAGCAATGATAGCTACTATAAGGGTTTTCCATGATTCATCTGTAGGTAGGATCGAGTTACCCAAATAAAGGCATCCAGTACCAAGTTAGATGTCCCAGCACATCTGAGATGTCTGCACAGGTCTGGCAGATATGACTCGGCGCCTACAGGAGATCTGTGCCCCTCTTGGAATAGCAGCTGGAGACTAGGCAACATACTCTCAAGCATCTTAAATAGCACTGGATGCTTACGTTGAAGTAATTGAATCCCATCGTAAGTCATTTTTATTGTGCAGTCTCCAGTAGTGCTGATCACAGCTATTGGCAAAGGTCTCTTCGTTCTACCTGGAACAAACCCATACAGCCAATAAAGTTATTCAGACTTAGACTTTCCTTGACCCTGTTTATAAGGACAGAAAACTTAAGAGACAGTGTTAAGGAAATATTTCAAAGCAAGAAGCCTCTGATTCCATAAAAATATCTTGCAAGGCAACTATAAGGATTTCTCTGATTTTTGCCCAGATTTGCCCGAAGTTATGGATAAAGACTGGTAATACATTTTTGTGTACTTGCACTTTAAATCCTCCTCTTTATTTTCTTACAATTGTTAGCTAAATTATTTCATTGGAATCTTTCCTTCAATGGAAGTTTTGATATAAGCAAAGTTCAAAATCAGTACTTTTTTTATCAACTGAAAGAATTTTTAATCGTAAGTCTATCAAACACACACAAAACACACTATATAGCACATTTTATGCTTCATGTAACAGCAAGAAGTCTGTATTTGTGGTACTAGCTCAATTTTTAAAACTGCTGATCAAACACAATAAAATTTGTATGGGACCTCCTTTATAAATGGTAATATGTGTATAGTCTAGAATATTTTATATATTTACATTGATTAATATATTTTACCTTTATTAAATCTGCGATCTGCTGCAGTAAAAAAAAAAAAAAAAGTATATTAAAATACATGTGAGCTTCATTAGTACTGGATTAACTTCCTTAACTGCATGGCAGATATTTTTGCCTTAGTGAGATATAATAAGCAGAATGATAGTTACAGGTAGGTGCTGATTGTAACAAATAACTTCACACTGAATTTCTGATGGTTTAGAGATAACAGGAAAACATTTTGTATTTTCCACCTGTCTGTATGCCAGGAAGCCAAATGAACTTAAGAAATTGAAGAGCAATATGGACCTGGATGCAGATGGCTGTAAACTGGCTATGAATAAGTTGCATGTTTCTAACCGTCAGAAAACTGAAATTCTGGAACAGGCATAAGCTAAGGGGGCAAAACAAAACTACTTTTTAGATGAAATGTAACAAAATGATGGAAGATATGCCTGGAACATTCTGACCTGGTGAGATCAATGACACAGTGAACTACATGTGTGATGAAAGTTAATTAGATGTGATGTTGTGATGGTCAGGGACTGTGGATCCTTACAGGTCTAGGTTCAGTTGTAGCTAAGCAAACTAGCTCATTTTTGGGGATCTTAACAGAGTACTTGTACAATTGGACTTCACATACTTAAAACCTAGTGGAATTTTGCTGGTAAATCATGTGTTCTTCATCTGTTTTTCAGTTAGCCCTGGGACCCTCACACTGGAGGCATATGCTGTCCAAGTCTGAGTCCATTAGGTCTCACCAGAATCTGAAAAGCAAGCATTTCTGCAGCTTCGTGCCTAGGCTTTAATAAACAAAGTGGCTTTAACCAAATTGTTAAGCCCAACTATTGTCTTGAGGTAATGGTGAGATGCCAGAGACACCTGTCAGTCTTGCAAAAGCAGAGCGGCAGGGGGATGTCATAGTCCAAACCCATGGGAGGGATTCAACTTGGGCTTGAACCAAATAAGTGGTAAAGAGAAATAAAAGAGCCACCGTTTAGCTACCACTGTGTGCTGCAGTTCTTAGTATAGCACGTAGACTTGACACTGTTATTTCTCCTTTACAAAGTACTAGCAATATCTTCAGTGATCCCTCTTCTATTTAAAGTATGCTGAGCCATTTACTGCTTAGACTAGGTCAAAAAGAAATGGGAGAATTGCATTCTGTTTGGGGTATGTGCCTGAGAGGATTGGTTAGGTTTGAAATCGCTGCCAGCTCAGATGCTGAAGTCTCTTACAGCTAAAGAATTTATACTGGGAAACCAAAATGTTTGGTTTATGCAGCACTAGAAAGGAAACTTCAGGGCATGAAACTAAAATTATGCCTCAGACTGGAATCTGTGTGTGTATATGTATGTCTACAACACTCAAAGATAAAAACTTTGCAAGATGGAAGGGTGAGGTCAATGTGTTAGGCTTTGAGTGCAAATTTCTAATGGCTGTGTGAGCCTGCATGACATGAGTTATCATTTAGCAAAATTTTAAACTCTTTGCAAATCATTCTACCCCACATTTGCAGGACGAAGCTGAAGGTTGACAGCATTGGGTCTGCTCCTTTGAGGTGAACTGCTAGTTAGGTTGTAGTGGAAAGAAAGAAACTGAACTTGGAAATGGCTTCCAGGAACACAGGGTCCTTAGGTAGATTAGTTTTGCTTCCTCCTTCCTTTACAGTTCCATAACTCTGAGGACTTGGGCTGATTGTGGAAGACACCAGCAATATCCCTGGCACTCATCACCTGGCACTAGTGGTTTTTTTAGTTTTGAACAAGCCATATCACTTTGACAGCTAAGAAATACAGTACAAGTGTAGAAGGCATTCTTACAGCCTCTCCCTCAATGCACAATACAGATCACTGATACCAGCTGTAGTCCATGGTTTCAGAAGCTGTTGCTCGGATCCAGTCATGTGGTTCCAACCATTCCAACGTATGTAAATTCTGGCTTGCTTTGCTCAGCCTACAAAGTGTAAAAAACTTCCAGTCTTCCCAATCATCTAAGAATCTGTTCTTCTTGCTGCAATATAGGTTACTGGAACTTTTTGTATCTCAAAGATACAGGACTAACTAAGCCTTCTTGCCTAGCTCCAAAACTCAATTGTTAGCAGTAAGAGTTTGGTGCTTTTTGTGCAACTGCAACTTCACCTACTCATTTACGAATGTTACTTGAAATCATCTGCAGTGCAAATGTGGAAATGCACAAGAATGCGAAGGGAAGAAGAAAATGGACTAACATTAACTGGATTTCTTCAAGAGGGCTTGCTGATAATGATGTATGCTTTCCCCTATCTTACCTTGTTCTTTGAGTCCCTTAGTATTTGGGAGTCTTTATTTTGGGGCATGCTGGAGGAGAGGGTTCACACCATCGTTGTTGCTCTTGATGTGGAGTATGAGATGAGGCAAAGCAAGTATGACACATAGGTGCAGGAGTCGAAAGTCTACAAACTTGGGTGCTTGAGGTGCATGTATATCCACAGGCATGTCCATATATATGTGTGTGTATATATATATACACACACATATATATGGACAAATACATGTCAAAAGAATTTTTCACGAGAAGTAACTTTCTTTTTCAATATAGCTAAGAAATTTAAATCTTGATTCAATAAGATAAGAGAAATCTGTATTACTATGTTTCTCCAGCATGCCATTAAATCTAGCTCCAGAGAAGAATCCAACAGCATGATACTTCAGTTTACATATGTGGGTTATTTCCCCCCGCCCCCCCATTTGTAGCTAAAGTTTGTTTTGGAAAATGTCTGTGGCCTAGTTAAAAAAAGGAGTAGTTTTATTTTGCTCAAAGATTTTGTGAGCACCTTCTTGCATTTTTTTTTTTTCAATCGATTGTCCTCATAGATTCTGCTTTTCAGCATTCCCAAGTTTGTGAGAGGCACAAAACATGTTCATGATTATGATGTGCAGTGAAAGCTCAGTTACTTCTTTCCTTCTTTTCCTCTTGTTTTGGGACAGAAACCTGGGCATGCATCCCTCATTAGCCTTTAAGAAGTGAATGTTGTCCTAATTGTAAGCTAATAGTCAGTAGATCGGCTAGCCATGGCAAATACTTTCTACATTGCTGTTTATTTGGGAAAAAAATGAGTAGCAGTAAATAAGATAAATTTGTCTCTCACTCTGAATAACTGACTGCTTTTACTAGATCAGTCTGTCTTATTCCTTAGTTGCTTCATTCTGCCAGTCTTAACACATCTTCCCATAGTGCATATCACACAGTATTCTTACCCTGTATGACAGGCTTAACACGTTACTGTATATTTCAGCTTGGCCTAATTACATTTCTTTCTGTCTCTTCACCTTAGGCACGCACAGGACTCTTGTTCTTTCTGGGGTTTTGGGGGGGTTTTTTGTGTGAAAACGGTCTTCCAAGTGGCCAAAATTTCAGTCAAAATAAACCAGGGATACTCTAGGCTTTTGAGACAAATTGTCCTTGTTTCATATGCAATGCCACTGTGAGGTCTGACACTGAATTTCTGCTCAGAATTACTTTATATTTTATGTCACTCAAGAAGTCTATTGTTTTGGTCAGTTTTGTTGTGGTTTTACCCATCTTAACTCATTCTGCTTTAGCCAAGAAATGTTTCACTCCCTATGTAGTGATAAATTATTATTTTTTCCTGGATGGAATAAGATAAACATAGGGCATCTCTGAAACTGTGTCTTGAATCTGTGAAAACAGTATTAACGTGATCAATGTTTATGCAAATGTAATACTGCATTTCAGATTGTATGCACAGTTTCTAAGCTTGCATGAAAAAAGAACAGATGAATCCATTAGAATCCATTTGGCTCGATACCAGTCAATCACTGCTGTTTTTTTGAGCAAGTGAATTCTGACTGGTTTATATAACAGTAGAGATGGGTTGAATCTATAATTTTACCATTTAACTTGCTGTGACCTGTGTCAGCTGCACATACTGCTTGGAAGATCTTTGTCTGACTGCTATCTTACAGTGAAGAACATTGTGCAGACTGTCACTTGAAATACTGAGGAATGATTACTTACCTTAAAGAAGCTATGGCTTGCTGAGCATGTTGTATGCACAGTTTTTGTACCTGCCATTAATTTTTGCTATGCTGGATTCCTTATGGATCAAAAGAACTCAGCAGGTCCAGCTGTCATGGAAGTCATTCTGACTCTTTCTTCCTCAGTGAAATGAATTTGCTGTTCCCGAGATACAGATTCAGCTGCAGTAAGCCATTGTTATTCAGAACAAATCTAATATTTCAGGCATGTGGTAAATGCATAGGTAAGGTGGAAATCTATAAGGAGAACATATTTTGCAGGCAAAGATCTGTTCTGTTACAGCTTTTTTGAAAGGACTAGATTTTGCTAGTGCCACTAAAAGCATTGTTCTACAAGTGGAATTGCAAAATTCTGTTGTAATTGTTAGTGTCCCAGTGTTAGTTTGTGTAAAGGAAGCAGAATTTTGCTCTAGTGAATAATTCCAAGGGAATGGTTTTTGTTAGACCCGTGGGAGGTTCTTACCTAAGACATACCCAGATAACAGTTTCCAGTTCGTTCTTCAGTTTTGAAACAGTGTCTATAAAAATGGTGGGTTTTGAATGTGACTTTCAGTATAGATAAAGATTTGTTCTTTCAATAGGCTGAAAATATTTTCCGAAGAAAGTGTTCCTCTCTTTGGGCCTCCCCTTCCCTCCCCACCTGTGTTTACAAATCACCAGGAATTCAGGGATTTTGTGTTAGTGAAATGTAAGTGAGTTATTCTTTTGCTAGAAACACTTTTTAATAAGTGCTTTAATATATTGAAATTAACGATGTTTAAAATGTAAACACATTTTCTTGTGTATGCTGCTGTTCCGTATAGAACTTTTTTTCAAATCTGTAGCATAAGTGGGATGTCAGTTCCATGAAACTGTTTCAGTCAGATGAACAAAAATCTGAATTTCTATTCAATTATGCTTCTTGGGCTACTAGATACAAACTGACTTTTATTTTTGCAGAATATGCAGCCATATTTAGCTTTGCATTTTCTTAAAGGAATTGGAGAGCTGAAAGAATTTATAGTGCTTTTCCATATTTAGTAATAGAAGGTGTTAGGTTAGCAGCTCTGAAAACCTGAAAATATAAGCTTTTCTGAATGCGTGCTGCATAGGTGCCTTTCAGCACCTTTAAGAACTTTTTAATTCTGTAATGATTCAGTTTCAGTTTTCGTTGACTCTTACTTGCCCTTCTAAATCAGCAAGAAAGAAATGTTTGAGAACTGATCGTGATTATTACAGTTAGATGCTTACCTGACAGGAACTTGACTGATAACTCATTTTGCATATTTAAATTGGTTTAGTACTTAAATTGATTAGCAGTTTGTTTTTGTTTTTTTTTTTAATTAGTTAGGAGGTTATTGGGATGCCTTGAAGAATTCTCCTATTAGTAATTTTTTTCTTTTAAGCTTAAGGGATCATTATTCACTAAAAAATGTGCAAAAAGGAGGCAACTCTAAATTACTAAGGGGAAAACAGGTATTTTTGTACAGAGGCAGTCTAGAGTTGGTGGAAGTTGTCAAAGTTCATTTAGGTAATGTATCTTCTTTTCCATAATATTTTAGTAATAAATGGGGAAAAAGCCACCTTGGAAACCCCAACATTTTCTCAGAAACGTCAACGCACTCTAGACATGCTGATCCGCTCTTTATACCAAGACCTGATGCCTGATCTACACAAGGTAAATGTAAGTCAGAAGTCTCTGCATACCTCACGTGCTCTCCTGTTCTCACTAGTAGATTGAATGTTCCGTTGCTTTAGAAGACTGTAATCCTAATAAGCACTGAGTTACATACACTAGGCTAAATACCAATTGTCATATAACTTGTTTTACAGTTATATGAAAGTTTACAGACAGTCCTTTCAGGATAGGACTCTTCATGCATTTGTTTAAACCAGGTGTGAGGAGAAGCATAACAATGTCATACTTTGTATAAACTTAACTGCAGCAAGGGAATATGAAATTTAGGCTTTGCAAATACAGGTATTAGTCTTGTCACCATAAAACCTGTAATTACTTATTCCATTATGTGTAAATTTGGATCATTTTTACCCTTGGGTAACAATGAGATAACTTCATTTTAGGTGATGAAGACTTATTCTTAAGGTGATTCTTAAATAACTAAAAAGAAGTTCAATACTTCTAAAATTAGCAAGGTGCTATATTTTTTCCCACTGTTTATTTCTCTTAGCTAAATAGGTCTGCTTAAAGGTTTTTGTCCATATATTCATATCTGTGGTCTTTGCTATGATTGTGTAGAACATAACAGTGATAAACTATGACAAGTTGAGAAGTAAAGCACTCAAGGACTGGCAGAGTTGCAGTTTCTGTTCTCTGAGAAGCTATACAGTTAGATTCATCGCTACAGGAAAAAAAACCCCAAATTTAAATGATATCACATTAAGTTAACTCGGATTGAAAGATTATGAAAACTTTTGGTTCAATTTAAAAAAGAAATGTTTTCTGTTTTAGAACATGCTCAATAGAAGGTCCTTCAGCGATGTGTTACCAGAGTCCCCAAAATCAACACGGAAGAAAGAAGAAGCTCGGCAAGCAGAGTTTGTCCGACTTGGTCAGGTAGGATCAATTTAGGAGGCACGCACCTATGTTTACAAAGACTGCGTCACCCCTTTTGTTAGAATTTGATTAGCTTGCAGAGTTACGTCAGGACTTAATGCAGATCTCTGTGGTCAGAAATAGTTTTGTAGTATTCTGTTAGTTTAAGCTACCTTAAGGTAAAATATGAGTAGAATTATTTATCTGTAACACCTGAGGTACACAACACAATTACAAATATTTATAAAATACATAAGCTAAAGGAATGTTGGAAAAATCACCCCTTAGGATCAAACCTAAAAGGTCCTTCCTTACTTCGTGCAGCAGATGCTTTCTGTCTCCAAGCAGAAGAGTGCTCTGTCTTTTTCTGTGCTTTAGAAAAACTAATCTTTCATGGATTTCCTGTATATGTCTTATTAAGATTGAATTTCTTACAAATTATTTACCCTACTTCAGCCAGGAAGAAGTTTTGACAGTCTTTCTGCTAAATCAGAGGTTGCCACACATCTTTGAACATACCAGATGCTGACTTCAATTTCTGTGGGCTTATTGATTCCATGAGGAGTAAAACTTCCTGATGATTTAGATAGTCTGGTTTGATCTGATAGTTCATTGCAGCAGGAAGAAAGACAGTGTGTATGCTCATCAGTTCCCCTGTCCCTTCCCGCTTGTCTCTTCTTGATCGTAGACTGGTGACACGGTTCTGCTGCTTATCTTAAGAATACCTCTTTTCTGAGCTGATTTAACTCAGCAGGAGTTAACAGAGCAGGAAACCAAAACAGAAAAAAATGAAATTAAACAAAAAAACAAAAAACACACCACCAGCAAAACCCCAGCCTCCTCCCTTCCATCTCATTTTTTTATCTGAGTTAGTAAGCTAAAGAGTGGAAGAGTTTGAGAAGTTCCAGGTCCGGTTAAAGGTAGCCAGAATGGAGCCAGGTGGTTGAGAGCTGGTGCAAAAGAATCTCAGGGCTGTTAGAGCCTGCATTGGCAGGGCTGCAAAGTCTGCTCCTCTGTGCTTTGCCCACCTTTTCCCCAACCACCTTGAAATAACTAGTCACTCTAGGCAGGTTCCCCAAGTTTACTAACTACTTTACAGAAGTTGAAGGAAAACATGATTATTGAAAGTATAGAAGCCTATAAGCTTGATCCCCTTCACCTCCCCTAAGTTAAACTCTGATACAGATACTCATGTTACAATCTGTTTGGGACCCATTTAAACAAGACTTCCATCCCTGGCGTGGCCTTCATCGAAGGGAAACCTATATGTGGGTTAAAAATTCATAGATACCTGTTTGTTTGTATTTTTTTGAAGGTTCTTTTCACATTTAAATCTTTCCCTTCCCTAAAAGAACTTTCCTCTAAGTTACAAACTGTAGGCTTGAACACATTTTAACTTGCCTTCCAAGTAGCTCTTAATCATTCTTGCCAAACTCTATGAATGTGTCTGTCTCCTTAGTTATATTCAGTTGCGTTTTTAGACGGTAAACAAAACTCACTGATGACTGGCTCAGCAGTATATTTAAATCATTTATTTATTGTCAAGGTGATCTCAGCTGACTGGTGGGATGAAGTTAAAAAGTTAATGCAATGAAGTATTTTGTGCATCTCTGTAAGCTGACAGCCATGCTTAATGCAAATGTGCAAATGGTGCACGCAGCTGATTACTGCCACTTCACAGAGACCATGCGTGATAGTAGGCAAACTTCAGGGCAGTAAAATTGGTTTAGGTAATTTCTAAACTTTGCATTAAAGAATGCTGTGACAATTCCATGTGTCATAGCTTTACAGGAACGCTGCTGTAAAGGTTAGCAATGAAGGTATATGTGATACCTTAAACAGACTTACTGTGTATCTTGCTAAAACTATGTTTATATGGTGTTTCTCTAGAGTTCTTAGCCCTTTCAAAATCAGCTCGCTTTGAGTTACTTTTAGTTGAAGAATTTGCGATACTGTGACCATGTGTCCTTGGCAGCCCTGGCAATGTATATATAGTTTGACTTAGAGGTTTGTTATGAAGTTTTGCAAATGAAAGGTGAGCTTCTATAATTGATAAAAGGATCCTCTATCCAGCTAGCTTACAGAATGAATTGTGTAGATGACTAGCTTGTATGATTTGGGGTGGAGGCTTTTCTCTGTTACGATGTTTGACGCTTCTTTTCTGATTTTGAGTTTCCATTTAACAAACAAACAAAAAACGCCCAAAAACCCAACCAACATATGTTTTGGCTGAGAAGATGCCTAGCAGCCCTCTAGTGATTCATACAGTCTTTGTTCAGGATATACAGAATTCCACTTCTTTCCTCGTTACTTAAAATGTGATAGGAATTCCAAACTGGACTTACTTTGTTGTCCTAAATTGTCCTTTCTTTATAGACTTTAGCTTGGGTATTGCTGACGAAAACTTAATTTAAATAAAACATCTGTTTGTATTAGGCATTGAAATTGAAAACCACGGTGAAAGGGGATGCCACGGCTAACTTGGCAACCACAAGCTTTTGTAAAAAGGAGGTGAGTGAACCCATCTGTCTGAGAAGAGTTATGAAAAAATTAAATGCTATCGAGTATGACATTGCATATCAGTGCTGCATGCTATTTATTTACTTTTGTAATTAGATCCTGTAGCAGCAAAGATGAAATGTATAGTGTCAAAGTGATTCTACAGCCAATATCAAATTAATAAAAGATGAGCCTGGAGGCAGAAGCATTTCTGAAGTTAAAGCAAGTGTGGATATTTTTATATCTGAGAATATTTGATGAAAAAGCCATCTTCCATACGCAACCATCTTTTATTTTAACTTCTGCATCAAGTTTAAAACAAAATTAAGTTGTGTTTTTATTTCCTGTAGTACCAGATTTTGTAAGCAAATTGCATATGCATGGTGGTACACACGTTTTAAGTCTATAGTGTTTTGGGTTTTTTTAAGTAAAGTACGTACTGAGTATTTCCAGGGTTGCACTGAGTATCAGCTGTGTGTGTTTTAATTCCAGTGTTACAGGAATGTGTCTTATACTTACTAGTGTCCAAACCCAATTAATACAGAGAGTATTTCCTCTGCAAGACAATTAACTAAATTTTGATATTTCAAATTTAAAAATTTTTGGAAATGTATGCTGCCAAAAGCATTTACATGTTTTTAGTTGCCATTGTCCATCTCATTCTGTGTCTGTATGATTTGTATTTCTTAGCATACTTAATATGTATCCCTTATGTTACTTCATAGCCTTGGGAATCTCAATCTTTCTGCAGTAATTTTCCTCATGAGGTTGTCTGTGCAGATTCTTGGGGCCAGTCCTTGCTGGTTTCTACAGATGCTGGCATCTTGTTAATAGATGGTTAGTAAATGATCCAGTGTTTTTGTGTCAATTTTTATGTATCTGACCATTTTCTTGAAGATGTATATTCATAAGCTCTGTTCAGGTGTTGGTAGGTCTTCACCTACAGGGATAGTTACCAGTCCAAGTGAATTTATAATGTTTACATAATCTAGTTGCAAAAATTCTCTCTGCACCAGAATTAAGCCATATTGGGGAGCCAATGTTAATGCAAATTTCTGAATGTTTTGTTATTTCAGATGTTGTCTTCTTGATCATCGGAAAAGACTTATGAAGTCACATCCGAGCTCAAGGAGTGTTTAAATGGCTTATCTGGATTTCTTAGCCCTTGATGATAGTGAGCATGAAGCCAAAAGCTAGACAATGAAAGCCTGCTTCTTCCATAGCAATGATATTGAGCCCATATCTTCTGTGTGCCACATAAGGCCAGCGGGACTGAGGGAATGAAGTTAGTTTTCGGTGATAATTCTCAAACTTTCCAAAGTAAGGTCCCTTTCAGGCTTCAGCTGCACACTGTGATCCATGGCAATGATAAGACTCTCCTGTGAGGAAATATTGGCTATGATGCTGTGTTATACGTAGCAGCTTTGTGCAGCTTTTTTTTGTTATCACAAGAAAAAAAACGAGGCTTTTATTACAAGAAAGAAGTAGGTCAAAACAGGTGATTAGGAAATTTTAGCAGGATTTTGGATAAATATGTTTGTTTCTTTTTTAGATGGTCAACCATCGGTGCAAGTATTTGATAAAACTCTCCAAATAAAGCAGATGCATGTGTTGGAAGCTCTGGATCTTTTGATTGCCCGAACAGACAAAGGTAGGAGGGGTCCCTGTTCTTTGATTCTCATATGAATGTGGCTGGTGCTGGGTATGTACGTCTCATGAGACAATCATGTGTATCAGTGGCAAGTATATTAGATACCTCATTTAGAATAAGGGAGCACATACAGCAACTGCTGTTATTTTCTAAAAGGCTGGGGGGGGGGGGGGATCTCTAAATGCTCATTCATATTTCCTTCAAGGCAAGCCTGAAACTGGTCATATGGTCTTTCTTCAGCCACTGTAGGAACTCGACAGTATTTGGAAATCTCCTTGACTGAATTATATGTTTATTCAGTTGTGCAAAAATATGGGGGAAATTACTTACGCTGTCACTTTTTTACCAAATGTGTTTTACTGGTATTTATTCTGTTAACTGTCACCACATCCTAGTGCTATAGAATGTATTTTCTTGAAGGTTCTGGTATAAAATGTTTAATGACTTAAGTGTTGTTTGGACAGAGAATGTTTTCTTTTTAGCCTCATTTGGAAGCATTAAATGTGCATAAACTGTGCACTTTTTCAATGAGATACTTTTTACCCAATAGTCTGTGGTTGAATTTCACAAAGTGAACATACACAAAGCAAGAACATGATCTGTATGTGTAACACAGAGAAAAGAATTATGAATATGATTGTTTTATTGGTTTTTTTTACCACGTTAAGTCTGTTTGCTCAGTATTGGTGGAAGTTACATTTACACAATCTTAAGGTAAAACATGGTTCCTTTTGTATCATTGGGAATTGCCCAATTTGGCTGCACCTGATGAAATTCATCCTGGGACCTTACAGAACTGGCTCAAACTACCTGAGAGCCATTTGCAGTTCTGTCTCAAGACACCTGGAGGGTGGGTGACATTTCTCAAGATCTGAAAAGTGTGGTTGTATCTGAAGCTTGGTTTGTGAAGCTTCTAGAAAAGATAATTACATTTAATTGTCAAAACATTGTACTGTTTGTTTAAACCTGAAGAGAGAGATGTAAGCAGGCATTTTGAGGTAATAGAACTAGGTATTACTGGCATCAATTCATGACACTTCAAACAGTCTGATGAAGTCTTACTCATGTAAAAAATTGCAGATATTTTTAACTCTTCGTATGGATGGTTTCTGAAACATTTAGGAGAAAGTTCTTTCATACTCAGTAGAATTCTGGCCTCCTGTTTTGTATTTGCATACCATATTGCCTTTCATTTTCAGACCACACTTCAGCAGCAAAAATGAGAGAATAATGAGTTAGATGAGCAGAAGCACACTCATAAACTGGGTTCAAAGACTTTGTGGGTTTTTAGGATAAAATGTTATGTGTTACAAGGTTAACTTTTTAAGCTTAACTATCAGCAAGAGCTTTTTCACATCAGCATTCCAAGAGAAGGTGTTGAAGAAGACACCAATACAGCAGGTATCAATGACAGCAGCACAAATTGCTTTGGTGGCAATGGCCTCTGTTCTAATGGAGACACAGTTAAATCTAACACTACAGTGGGGTTGTTTGGGACATTTGCTGGTTAAATTTGTCCTAGTAATGAGAGGCAAGGCACAAAAATGGATCTATTTTGTCCTCCAAACACACTTTGGTTTTTTGTTCCAGCTTTATTTTGTGAAATGCCTAGACACGAGGGTGAGGGGGGGGAAGAGCTGCTTTGCTTGGAAGAATCAAGTCTGTAGGAGGTTAAGAAAAACTAAAAAAGCTCAGATGATAGTCACTTTTATAGGCAGCCACAGATAAATCTAACACCACAGTGGGGTTGTTGGGAACATCTGCAAAAGAACTAGTATTGTGAAAGAGGAGTGATGTATCCTAGAGGACACACTGGTCAAAAAGCCAGAGCTATTTTAAACGACAAGGAAAGGTGAAGATTTATGTCTGCTGAAAGGCATGAGTGCTGTCAACCTGTGGGGTGCACATCTCACAGCATATGGGGATTTAAACCCCAATTCCTTTCTAAAAGCATATCAAACCAATTTCAGTGAAGGCAGTGGTCATTGTTCTGTCTTCATAGTGAAATGCCTGCCTGGGAAGGAAGTTATCATATGTGTTATTCTCTGCTGCACACACATAGCATCTTCACAGAGGTAAATATGGCATGTTTGATGGAAGCATAAAAGGTCTTTTCAAGTTTGGCATAACCTCCAAAAATAACAGTGCTTAATTTAGGTAGCAATACTTGCTCCCCGCTATGGCTGCCTGTTTACAAGCATTTCTTGATTTGAAGAATGCCGATGTTCAGATTGGCCAGAAGAAGTTCTTGAGTTTTGCTGTGGGTACACAGCTGTAGCATTCCAGAATTGTCTGCGTCACCAAGAATGTTTGTAAAATACCTGGCTGAAATAGTAGCTCAGGTATGAAGACTGAACACTACAGTTACCACTGGAGGACCAACTACTTAATCAGAGGCAGAATCTAGGAGAAAATTCTAATAAATTTAGAATAAACTTTTTTCTGTCTTGAATGGCTGCACTAAAAACTATCTCCAATCTCAGTGCAAGTGATGGTAGTCATAAGAATTATAGCTCATTCTAGATAGGAAAGATGGCCTTCCTTCAGGTTGTGTCAATAGCTGCTTTAGCTTAAAATCAAAGTTGGTAGAAATGGAAGAGCATTTTAAGGTGTTTGGTCATGTGTAGGTTTTCATATATGTGGTGGTGTTTGAAAACACTCACATGCAGCACCAAGAGTTGTGCATTAGTTGTAAAACAGTGGGTGAACATGCAAGTCCTTGATTACATTTCTCATTTAATAGCATTAAAATGTTCCATGAATTTGAGAGCCACTCTTGATTCCTTTCCCAAACAAAGATGGAACAGAATTGTTAGGGACTTTAGCTTGACAGAAATGATCAATTAGTTGCTAGGCAGCAACCACAGCCGTCCAGTTTTGGGCATGGGATTATAATTTGCACTTTCTGAGAGTTGGCAACAAGCTGAGAGACCTTCTGAGCAGATATTGTGTAGTCATAAGCAATCGTAAGCAGTTATTGCAAAGGTTGATGACAGGACTAGTAGTTAACAGAAAACTCTCATGATGCAATGTTCACCACGTGTCATATTTCTAATACTGACACTGCCTTATGCCTTTTTGAAGTGAAATCGGAGCCTCCTATTTGTTTTTGTATTGATTTCCCTAGTCCTGTGGGATGCTATCAAAAGTCACTCATTTACTGAGAAAATTTTGGATTACAGATTGCTAAAGAGGCCCATTCTGTTGCCTCTGCAGCTGTCTAGCTCAGATTTTGCCATGTCACTGTCAGGTGAACATCGCTAGCCAGGCCCAAAATTATTGCATCTTGCGTGGAAGATGTTAGCTGGTCAAGTACCATGAGCAAGGATGGTTTCAGAGAATATACATTATAATATATATATATAAAAAAATATGTAAATATATATTATATACAATATACTATAATATCTACTACTATATAGTAGTAGATATTTCGCTAGCTTGTGAAATTTTGTAAATTTGTGAAATAGTGTACATTTCCCTGTTCTGAAGCACCTATATCATTCTTTGCTGCAGCACCACCTGATGGGAAACAGCTGCTGAACTGAAGGAGTTGGTTACTAGAATTGTAAAGCTTAGAGAGTTCATAAGCAGTCTTGTATGATGTCGAAGCTCATCCCCAGAGAAGCAGTATGCTTTGTTTCTCTTTGGAAGTATTAATTTCAAACTACCTCTATCTTTTTTTAACTTGTTTAACTGGTGCTCTTCATCCTTCAGGAAAAGACTCTCGTCTCCTTGTCTTCAGGCTCAGTGCTGTCCAAAAACGTATAGAAACAAAGCAAATGATAAGAAGCAAATACGACTGCAGAGAAAATAAACTGGAGAGAACAAAAGGTAATTTTATTATCCTGTGTTAGAAACATGCACTGTGGTATGTTGCCTGTAGTTGCCAGAGGCTTATTAGCTCCCTTGAGGCAGTTGTAGGTGTTCGCCTTTATTTTTTTCTCTGGACAGTCGATTCAAACTTTGTTAAACTTATGTGTGAAACTAAGTCTGGTATAGTCCAGCATGACATTTTAGAACTTTGTAAAAATACCATGTTACTTGGCAATCACTGCTGATGAAAAGCTCTAGAGAAAAATAGGTATGTTGCTTTCAGGATTGAGGGGTATGAGAAGAATTATGCAGGGATGTGAGACTGAAATGAAGGGCGTTTTAAGGTGGAGGAACACTGGCAAACCTCCCTTAAATAGTAGTACTTAGATTAGTGCGGGTGTTGGTGATTATTTTAGTAGACATAAACATTTTCTGGTCTTCAGAAGCAAGCTGCATTGGAAAGTTGGAACCTGCAGAATAATGAAAATCCAAGTATTTAGTCGTGCAAGAGGCGTAAGGGGAAAAATAGATTTCAAGAGTCATAGCTTTTTGTTTTTTTCTAGAAGCTAATGTTATCCTGTTGCAAGGTTTGTAATTCTGTGGTGCTAAGTCAAGCATCAGAGCCCCGTTGTACTAATCATCATACAAATACAGAACAAAAAAACCAGACCCTATCCCAAACACTTACAATCTAGAGCATTATTTCCTCAGGCTGCCATTTGTATGCCATTAATACTCACCATGGCAGTGAACTGAGGATTGTTGTGGCTATTCGGAACAAACTACTTCTCGTCACAAAGAAACATAATCCACGCAACATTTTAACCAGCAGCTCTCTGCTATCATCATCTGAATCTCCAGTAGAGGAGTTCCAGTACATCCGGGTATGTGTAATCTAATCACTAATTACCTTAACAGACTGGGCAGCACTCAGCTGGGGAGGGAGGGGAAGACAAAGAGCATGCATTTTTATCTTCCTGAACCTTCAGACAAATAACAGTGAGAAGCCGTATGATGGAGTTCCATCATATATATGCCAAAGAAATCTTTCAGACTTTTTTAGTTAAGTTTCTGCTTGTTCTTTATCATGTTTCTGTGCTTAGAGCACATTCCTTTAAATTCATGGAGTACCTTCAGCACCCACGGTAGGAGCTTGAAAAAGAGAATAATTCTATTATTTACATTATAGGAAATATGCCTTTCTGACCCTCCAGTGGTTATGACACTAGTGGATGGACCTACTGGAGACAGTGACAATATGATCTGTGTAGCCTATCGGCATCAGTTTGATTTAGTTAATGAGAGTACTGGGGAGTCCTATAGATTGCATCATGTTGAAACAAACAAGGTAAGTTTTCATCATTGAAACTATTTTCTTGCAGAACCGCACTGAATGCAATTTCTTGCAGACTCAGCATCCTGTGCTGACCTCCTGGGAGTGTAATTTTTGGAGATCCTCATGTGTCTTGCTTTTCACTTCTATAACCCCTGCTTTAGGGCACTCTGAGATATTTGTTCCTTTTGGGATACACAATAATAATCACTCCCAAGAGAGGTAGTTATAAGGTATGATATGTTAGGAAGGAGCCTGTGTTTCAGGCTCTGGAATATCGCTGTCAGCATAAATTCGTTTTTCTCTTTTCTTAGTTAATATTTTGCTTTTTGCTATTTCTTTGTGGTCTCGGTGTTTTATTGTTTTAAGAAATAGCAGCAAAATAACTTCAGTTGTTGGACACCAGTATTTCATTCAGATTTGCCTATTTGCATGTATTAAGGCTAAAATATTTACAGGTAGCTTTTAGTTCTATTTAAGAAACTGCTGCCTAGTCAACTAGTAAATTAACTGAATCTTTCTAACTAAGACATAGGGTTGGGATGTAAGCAAATGTCATGATTTTCAGAAAAGAGCTCCAGTATTTCCTGCTGCTGGGAAGATCATGATCTTCAGCATCTCTGAAAATGAGATAATTTTAATTGTTTCTAAATATGGTTGTGGACATACAGCTTTAGTTGGGGAAAAAAAAAAAAGGAAGATTTTGCACAGTTAATCTTTTTTTGTTGTTTTTCACTGACTCTCTTCCTCATAATTAGATAAGGGACTACTCTTTTCCTTTGATGGTTCTTGTTGATAGGTTATTTTCTTTTTAAATCACCTGTATTTTTATTCAGGTCTGATGATGAAGAGGTTTGGTACTCGTAGCATGGGTGATAACAGTGTAAACTTCTCCACAGCACTGGAAATCTGTCTTAATCTGGATGGGGAGGAGCTACAAGTAAAGAATGGGGATGGAGAAGTACACTACCACCACAACCCATTCTCCCTGTTCCTCTTCTCCCCAGGAATCCTTATTTTCTTTGAGAACACAACAAAGCAGACAATTAATAAGAGCTGAGCCAGTGATTTTTCTGATGTTGAGATGGGACACAAAATTATTTCCATGCATAACAGAGCAGAAGTGGCTTTCAGTCACTACAAAGGTTGGGTCAAGATGCATTTGGTATAGATATAGAAACTTCGAGGTCTGTTTAACAGTTCTTGACCTGTACAGTAATCTTGAATCAAGAGGTGAACATCTAGCTTATTGTACAAAGGAAAGTCAAAGAACTGCTGTTGATGGAATCAGTCTCCAGCCCCTCTCCTTGCCCAACTAGTAAATATTGTTGTCTGGGAAGCATTTGTCTAATGTAACCCTATGTATTTCACTAATAAGGTCTCATTTCCTGAGCAGATACCCTACTTTTTGTGGCTGGTTTGGGTTTTTTAATCTAACTGTAAAAGACAAATACGGAGTTGAAATACAAGAATTTATGTAGCCTATGCTATGTAAAAAATACTGTGGTTTATCCAGCATTGGTTCTCAAGTTTCTAAATTCAGCCTATTAGTAATCCTTAAGTACATCCCTACCGACTTCTGTAATTGTTAGTGGTTTTGAACCAGTAATTGGTGCATCTGATCTTTCTGCTAGTCATGATGTGCAATGGAGCTTTTTGGATTTCACTTTTTGAAAAGAATTGTTATTTTTAGCATATCATGTTGATTCACAGCTGTCCTGAAATCACCCATTTCCCAAAAATCATATTGCCAAAGAAGTTTTGTAAGTTTTTATTGCTTTATACGGTTGATGTGGTATTGAATATTCACTACTGTACACAACTGAATACAAAAGAAATTTATTTCTGTCCTGAGAGCATCCTGAAAATTAATCACAAAGAGGCTGCATTTGAAAAATTAATTAATTTATTTTTTTTTAAATCTGTAGTTGTGCACTCCCCCAACTGATTGTATTGCTTGTTAGTCAAAACCTGGTTGTAATAACCTCAGTATCCTCTGCCTGTTCATTACCCTTGCCCATTATCATTACAGGTTAATTTTGTTGCAGCTATTGATGTATATGAAGATGGTGAAGCTGGCCTACTGTTGTGTTATAACTGTAAGTATTTAGGGAAGACTGAAAATGGTAATACCTCAATCTGCATATGTAATTCCTTTTTCACTGGAGTCTAGATCTGTATTTTAACATAAAGTTCAGTGTTTCATGGGCAGTTTTTCAATACATGTTCTTTTGAATTTAAATGTGTATTAGAAAGACTAGAAACTGAAGTATTTTATTGCAGGGTATGTTGAATTTAGACATACTGGCTGGTGGGGTTTTATTTCAGGGATATAGATGTGTATCTATAAATTTATAGATGTTACCATCTTACTCAAAAAAGTCCTATTTCTTCAGATCTAGCTCATTCTTTAGGTAGTTACACACTGACTAGGTGTTTTCAAGACATGTACAATTTAGCATTTCACGCCTTTTTCCTCTGTGTGCTGTCCCATTCTGTCTTTGTGCTTTTTCTTCCACCTGCTTCTTGGCACTGTTGCATTATTTCATTGTAATTCTCTCAATCTCCTTTTATAAAACAGCCTTGGATATAACACACATATGTTCTTCTCTGTAGCACACAGGTACTTTTTCTTCTGATCCTCATGGAAATAGAAGATCTTGGCATGAAGCAGCCTTTTTAGGCAGTGCTGAAGGACAAGGCACAGCTTTCTCTGTTGCAGAAGGCGTGTCCTGTTTGCCTCTTCAAAGTGAACATTGATGGAGACAGGATAAATACTCCTGTGTTTCAGCACTAGCTATCATTTTGGTACCACGGAGCAAGTTTTAAGTGTCTCTAAACTGTATCTTTCTATGCTCTGTGAGGCCTTATTGGTTCTGGTTGCTTGCCACATCCGACCTGGTTCTGGTTCATTTAGCACTGCTTCAGAACTAAAAAGCTATCTGGCAGAGCGTAGTGAATTCCCACCTATATTTCTGCACAGAATCAATTCCCCTTTAGTAGACCCATTGCTGAGCCAAAGCTAACAAACTTAGCTGATCTGAAAATTACAATAAAGGTGCTGCACAGGCCTGCAGCACCTTGAATTCCTATTTCTAGGACAGCGTCACAGGGAAACCTACATTTGTGCTTTAGAGAGTTTTATAATTCTGAAAGGATCATCATAGAACAAATCTGAAAACACAGGATTTGGCAGTGTCCTAAGTTTGTATTTAGCAAAATACCTGTAATACATTTCTGGATATAAACTTTGATTCAGTCTAAGAACATCAATTACAGGGAAAAAAAACCCAGAATTTTGCCTAAAAAATAGAAAAGAGCTGGAAGCAGCATGTATTTGAGAGGGTCATAAATGTTTACGTGGAGCCCCCAGTGCACTCATATGAGCTTGTCAAGAAAAAAAGATGATTGCAATTGCATCTCATCTTTAAGCTTTCTTGTTTGCTGATACAACTTCTCAAGTCCTGAACTTTAATAGATGTTTGATCAGCACTAGTGCATGTGTTTAAAGAAAAGTCAGCTTGTAGTAAAAGGTAAAGTTCCCCATTATCTAGATCTATCAAATTAAAAATTCAGAATTGCATTGCCAGTGAGAAGCTGTATAAGCCAGCATTCATGTCTGACTTGTAGGAGGACTGTTAATTTCAGAATCATTGGACTTACAGCAGCTAAGAAGTAGGTTCAAAAGGTATGTGATTAATGAAATCTTGGTGTCTGTAATATCCTGTGTGTATAACAGTCTTCAAAGAATGTAAACGGCAGCATATGGGTGCTTGAAGGGCAGAGAGGTACAGTTCTCCTGACACTGCTTTCTGAATTTTTCTTGCCTATTCCTCTATCCATAGACACGGTAAGGAACTGATAACTGTTGAAACAGAGTAATACTTACTTTGTGAAATATGACAACTTATTAAAATGTAGATCTTTTATTTTCATCTTTCAAGTGCTGTGTTCACAGAGGAAGCACATTTCCCTTATCTGTTTAAATATAGAGGGACTTCTACATAAACGCTTGATTATGTATATAATGCCCACACTTCTGCAAAATCTGCTTATTAAGTTAGTGTTTGTCACTTGCAGTGTAAGGTGATGGATGCTTCTTTTTTCTTTTTTGTTACAGATGTTTGCCAATACAGAAAGGTATATCCTTTCAATGGAGGTTCTCCACTGATCCAGCCATCGGCTTATGACTTCCACTTCAGCTGGAATCAAGTTCCTTATGCTGTTGGTAAGAAAATGTCTGTTTTTACTAGATGGCTGTTTTTTTCATTACCATTTAGGCTTGCGCTTGGCTGTTAGTGGAAGTACTATGTATGTGTGCTAGGAATGAGTATGTGGCATTCATCATGCCACTTTAGCTAAGTTTCCGCATATGATAATTTAAAAAAGTGGAGCCTGGGTGCCAAGTTCTTCCTTTGCTGAACCTTTTTTTTCCTTTCTCTTTTCTCTGTGTTTAATTTTCCATTCAGTCTATGTTCTGCCAGGCACGGAGAGTGAAGTTTTCTTCAGGCTTGATGTAGCTTAATGTCCATCAGTATGCTAGACAACCCTTTCCATAGGAAAGGGAGATGCCAGAAGAGGTCAGATACTCGAGAACAGTTTTCATGGAGCATCCAAGAAACATTTACATTAACCATTTTTCCTTGCCAAATAATTTTCGTTTCATTGCAGTCTGTGCTTTCCCTTATATCCTTGCCTTCACTACTGATTCCATTGAGATCCGATTAGTGGTGAATGGGAACTTAGTCCACACAGCAGTTGTACCTGAGCTTCAACTTGTGGCATCAAGGGTAAGACACAGGAAAATCATATTTGACTATTTCTGTGATATGTTGGGATCTAATTCACAAAAAACAAACAAACCAAAACTTAAACATGTACTACTTGATCTGTGGTAAATGTTCATCTGTGTGCTCTTAGTTTATATCAAGTACAAAGCGAATCAGAATTGATATCACTGTTGTTTATTGCTAACAGTAATGCAAATCTGAGATATTTGACTGTTTATGGGCAAAGCTATCCTCAACATCACAGATGTTTCTTCCACTTAGAGTGGGATAACCTTTCCATGACCAACCCTAGCTGACTTAGCAGCAATACAGCAATAGTGGTAATAGAACGTAGTGGAAAAACATTTGAGTTCTTACTCAGAAGATGGTTAAGAAAGTCTCGCTGTACTAATGATGAGTTATTTGTCATTTCAGTCAGATATTTATTTTAAAGCTACTGCTGCAGTAAGTGGATCATCTGACAGCAGCTCTAAGGAAATGAGTTCAAGGAGTTCTCCTCAAACGCCGACAGCTTATGACATGCCAGAATGTCCTCTTTCTTCTGTAGAAGGTAACATGTTTCCAGGCAGCTTGAATAATGATCTCTGATCATTCCAACAGCTATCACATCTTAGTGCAGCTGATCTTTAGTAAGATGAAATTGAGTACCTAGTTGAGGGTCTGGAAGATAGAGATTTTCTGTTTATCCACAGATATGAAGCACCTGGCTGAGCTTTTGCCCCATGGTATCTCTTTTGAATGCATGGTAGCACTGTTTTAAAGAAATCATTTCTGTAGGAGGGAAGGAATTAAGCTTCAGTAGCTTGATGAATCTTTGGCAATATGGCCAAGACTAATAATGCGAAAACAGGTATAAAATTGTGGGAAAACTTGAGATTGCACGTACACCATTCCTTTCATTTAAGAAAAGCTAAACTATCACTGGATGGTTAAAGCTCTTTTGCGAACCAAAAGTAAGAAGTAGTTCTAGCCTCGAAAGAGTTTGCATAGTCAATTTACTGTAACATGATCTGTGAACAATCAGTCTGTAGGGGAACAATAATGGAGAAACAAGGGAACATCCACTAGATAATGCAAGATGTATGTATATCTTCTTCACTTAAATCTGCTGCTGCACTGTTGGCAGAAGGGGAAAGGAGAAAGGAATCATAATTTCAGTTTTTAAAAGGCAGTGCTATTGATGGTAAGTTGTGGGTTTCTTTCTAGGAGTTAGGAAAACACGTGGTATTTTATGTCACCTAAGAAGAGGAGCCATAATTTAAACAACTTGGAATCTAGGCTCCAATATACTTGCAACATATTAAAATACATGGGGAATATTGCACAGAGTGCAGAGTCATGGTGTAATAGTCAGAATACCAGCCTCAGGACATGTAAATTTACTTCTAGTTCCACTGCTGATTCATCACATCAACAAGAGTCAATCTTTTTCTCTCTAAGTCAAATTGCAAGTCTGCACAATGTGGTTGTATTTCTTCCTCCTCCTAGCCTGTTTATATTGAAAGATCTCTGGGGCAAGAAAGATCTTCTTTATTTGGGTTAAAAAGCACCCAGCACAAGTATAACTTTTTGTTTGGAAGTATTAAAAACAGATACTATTGTGAAAGTGTAACATTGTTTTTTCCTTTTGTGTTTCAGGTGAAGTTCCATGCAAAAACCTGTACAAAATTCCTCTCAGTAATCTAGTTGGGCGAAGCATTGAACGACCTCTAAAGTCACCTTTGGCTCCCAAAGTTATTACTACTACAACATCCAGTGGCATTGCCTCTCTTCCAGTTACTCACTCGCTATCTTTATCTCGTATGGAAATTAAAGAAATTGCAAGCAGAACACGTAAAGAATTGCTGGGTAAACTCTCCTCGTTCTTTGGTGTACATATCAATTGCTAAGTATATAATTTCTAATCTTTGGACCATCACAGTCAGATTTGTAACGTGCAACCAGTATTCATAAATAAGTAGTATAAACAAACAAATGAAACTGCGAGAAAATATTATTTGCAAATAGTCTAGCCAGTGTCTGATCACATATAAGGTGACCATATTCTAAGTCAGGTGGAAACTATTTAGTTAATAATGGAAACCAGTGACAGATACATTAACATTTTCATGAATGCTTTATTTTCTGTTGAGAGGATTAAGTCTTTTCTTCCTTTATTGAGGCCTCTTGGATGAGCCTATACCCAAGACAGAAAGTGCACAGAAGCAAAAAAAGGTTCCTCGAAGACAGTCAGACCCCAAGCAGGGAGCAGTAAGATCAACTAGTAGTGACAGGTAAATATACTGGCTTTAGAAAAGAACCTAAGTTAGACTGTAAATGTTTTCAGAATTCATTGTTCATGCTTATCTCATTTGGCATGGGGCTGACTGAGACCTTTGTACACCAATATGAATTTCATGCTAATGTGTTTGTTGGAGTATCTAAATACTGTAAGTACTGAAACAATTATACTTTTTGCTACAGACAAGTTAATGGGCAAAGCAAGACTAAATGGGATTTTGTGGGTACCTGCTGCAGTTGAGCCTGTCATTAGGATTTGGACTACTAGATCTGCACTGTGCAGGCTTGCTTGCTGTTTTCTTCATATGCTCTTGTGTTGCTATTTCCAGAATAAATTTTGTGAAGAAACACCATAGCATTTGTCTGTTTGGCTCTGCTTACGACCCCACTGCCATTCTCGTTTTCACTGTGTTTGTGTAGAGTAGTGGCAGAATTCAGCCAAGATACAGTAGACTGAGATTAACAAAACAAACAAAAAATCTGCTGCAATGTAAAACCATGTTTGATTTGTTTCACTATTTGGAAAATATTTGGGCTGGGGGCTTCATTAACATTGCTTATTAATGATTTTCAGTAGAGTAAAAACAGAGAGAAACTCAGTTTTAATGGTCTGTCTCTGTCTTCAGGATAACTTGATTGAATCTAGAAATAGCCATTGATCCTACTTGCTCTGATCTGTGCATTTTTTTAGTAACTTTTGTCTTCCTCTTTGCAGGATAATCTCAGGCTCTTTTGAAAGCTATTCTGAAGGACGTCATCTTTCTACTAGTTCAGATCCTGATACTTTAGCAAACAGGGAGGAGAGCTCACCATCTAGCTATCCATTTCAGCTGATTTCTTTATATGATGAAGACATCATTGACTTGAAGTGAAGACAGTCTTAAAACCTTTCTTCCTTCACATTTTCTTACAACTCCATGAGCTCTATGGGAATGTCACAAACACTGCTTCTAGTGGTAAAATGTGGCTGGAAGTATTGGTGATTAATCTTTATAGAACCCATATTGTTCTGGCTAGCTCAGCCTGATTTGATGATGCTTGTATCTTTGACATAGGTATGTTTTCTTTTCTCAGTTAATGAACCATTACTTTTTGTGGCATTCTAACAGTAGGTAATCAATGAGAGATTTAGGCTGAAACAGAAGTAAATAAAAAGTATTACTTGTTCTGAGCTTCTTAAAATGTGAGGTACCTGAATGACATTCAGCTAAGTTAATCACTGTTATTACTATCATGAGTTGTTCTAGAACAGTCTGTCATGTGGGAAGAGGAATTTTATAACATCAATTGCTCCTTTTGGTTTTTCAGTCTTTAAAAAAACAAACAAAACAAAACAACAACAAAAAAAAGGCTTGCAGGCAAGGTCTTTCCAAACAGTGTAGTCTGTCCTTGAAATGATGCAGCTATGGTATGTTCACTGAAGAATCAAGGATGTTCTATAAATATCAGGTAAGATGTGAAGATGCTGCTTTCTTTGCTCTGGCCTGTCCATGCACATTTTTTAGAGAAACTTGAAAACTGTTTTGACATTAAGAATCCTTGAGCAGAGAGACTTTTTACAGAAAACACAAACTTTCAAAATATTCCTTAAGAATTGGAAATAAATAAATAAAAAACTAAAACAAAACCAACTGTATTTTTCCATCTACTGGAAAACTGTTATTGTAGTGCACCTACAGATTTTCTCATTACAGGCAGAAGAGCCAACCCCTGATTTTCTTTCTGACTACACAAAGATTCCTATGCAGGCATCAGAATTAGCTGTTGTCTGCTCTTGCACCAACAGTGTAAGTCATTATTCCAGATAATCATATTTTTCTAACTGGATCCAGACTGAAATTCCACTGCTAAGAAGCTAGTTTTCTATGATTAAATAGTCATCTTAGATCTTTTGTTATGTTAAAGGACAGGGTTTCATGTTTAAAGCTTGATTATTTTTTTAACCCTTTCCTCTGTGCCAAAAATCAATTTTAAACAGGATTTTGAAAGGGTTTTGTTTGGTTTGGTTTTTTTTGTTGTTGTTTGGGTTTTTTGGGATTTGTTGGGTTTTGGTTTTTTTTCATGAAAGTGTGATGCTTCCAGGCTCTTTATATATGAAGATTTTAGCTTTATTAGCAAGTATTTCTTGTTCTGTATGTAGAAATGCTCTGTACCCTTGATTTTATTTTGGAATACCATTCATGTGTCATGATTTCACTTTCTGTCCAAGCATGACCATCTGGAGATTTGTGCCTTTTGCTTCGGTCTGTCTGAATGTAAAACTGTTTTTGCAAAGTATTTTTTGCCCAGATTATTGTATGTAATGGCTTAATTGCTCCACTTAAGAAAATATGCAAGGCCTTGTCTGGAAGGATCATTTCTTACTCTCAGGTGGAGTGGCTGATCAAGGAAAGAAGCAATATTTTCAACAGTAATTAATCTAGGAGCAGAAGCAGTATTAACCAGTGGCTGCTATTATTTTAGTATTTTTGCACTCATAGATGTGTGGGGTGAACCTTAATAAGCATCTAAAAAGGAAGTGCCAGCTCAAAATCTTTGCAAGAGCTTGTAATTCTTTTTGAGAATGTTATTTCCAGAGATTGTGTTAATTTACACTGTCCTATTTATCTGGGCAGCTAAGGTTTAAAAAAAATCAATCTGAAAGTATCATGTGGTGCTTATTCTCCTGGAAGTTGTAAACACTTCTGTGGACTTACAGAATCCATTTTAGGGAGCATGGCTTGCACTTAGCTATTTTTAGAAAGCAAAAGCATCACCTTTTTCCATAAATGGATTTATTGATGTAGTATTTAATTTCTGTTACGTGGGTGTTTTAGAAGACTGTACCAGGGTGTTGCAAAACTGGGGCTTTAGTTAGAATACAGTTTTAACTGGAAACTTTGCAGTGTTAGGATATCAGATTTGAAATATACTGCAGATGTTCACCTGTGCTATTCTAGTGTGATTTAACATGACTAAACCATAGTTCGATAGCAGTTGAAGCAATATATGGAGATTTTAAAACTTGTTTTGAAGAACCTGAACAAACCACCTGTTTAGGTATCCTGAAAGACAAGCCTTAGAGATGGAGCATGAGGGAGATAAAGAAGAATGAGGAAAGCTTGACAGAAAGCTTGACCACTGGATATGATGGTAGTCAGGATGCATATAGATATGGCATTTATGTCATAATGGAGACATGATTATAGAAAGAGGGGCCATAAAGCAAGGGTTACTTTTTTTTTAACCAGAACACCAGTGGCTATAAAGTATTGCTGTAAAGTAAGAGAGTGTGTGAGTGTATGTGTGTGAGAACCTTTGAAGGTCTGCCTGTAATCACAGCATTGATGACATTCTAGCAAATACTAACAAACAGCAAAAGGACTGTGAGGAGTACAGATTAAATTTGATTGCTTAAACTAGACAAAACCAGATCAGACTAGCTTCATGGTACTTAATCTGGAACAGGATGTTGGTATAGTTTGAAGAAGGAAGCCCAGCAACTGCCTCCCCCGCCACCTCCCATCTGAATTTTATGCTCTCGCTTGACTTAGTGGGTCAGGTGCAAGCTGTTACACAGGTCACAATGGGATCTACCAGACCTAATAGACTATTACTCATATTGGACAGGAAGGATCTGAACCCTGGAAAAAAATTACCTGTCTTCATTCCTAATGTATGCAGTAAGTGCCCTAACAAGGCTGCTGCTTCTTGAGTTTCTGCTTCTGTAATTAATCAGTGTGTCTTGCAGGGATGTAGGGATAATATTAGACCTAGCAAAAGAAGTTGGGAGGCATAAGGCAACATTAGTTTGGTTTGTATGACACCTAGAGATGGTAGCTGAGGCTTTAGGGTCATGTATATGTAGTTTACGACCTACTTACTGTACAAGAGCAGCCCAGAGTATAGGTAGAAGGTAGAGAACATGGTAAAAATTTTGTTTAACACAAGCAACAGGAATCAAATTCTGTGATGTCTTCATCACATTTATTGTATCAAAAGATCAAATATCACACAATCGTGAAATTGCTGGCACAACTGGACAAATATCCACTGTACTAGGATGTAGTTTCTGTGGGCTCTTGACAGACTCATCAGACTGCCATGAGTTACATGCCTCTTCTTAGTGTGATGAGCTAGCATCCTCTGAACTAACTTCTAGCCATTGTTCCTCTCATACTATTGTCTTAGATCCATACCATTCAGACTGCTAATTAAAATCAAAACAAAAGCCAGCTGGTAGTATTGATTTATAAGCTCTTGTGCATCATTTATAAAGGGCAAGGTTTTTGTACACCTATGCAACCTCTCCTGCTTCAGACCGGTGTAAAATGACGAGGCTTGTTGGAAGGCTACTGGGATGGACAGCTCTGTAATTGTCGTTCACTCCAACCTTAGAGCCATGTTGTTTCCCTTCTGCTTTTCCAGCATGTGTGTGCATCTACTCATTAAAACTCAGAAAGTAGTCTTGGGCACAAATTGGAGCCATGTCCACCCTAAGCACAATCCTTACTACTTCCACATCTTATGCTAAAGCTGCCTTTAGCCTGCATTCTTGCCGTTGGCTGACCATCTCATAGATGAGAGAAAAGATAATCTTTGAATCTACAGTTTGGGCTTTAGGAACTGTTGCAGACTAACAATCATTTCTGTCCAGCTTGCCCTTCTAGTGGCAATGCAGTGCACATACATACATAAATTTTATAAATGAGAGTTACAAAATACTTCTCTCTAAGGAGAGATAAAGACCCCCATGCAATTTGAAAGGGCTAGGTTATATTCATGGTAGTGAGAGATCTGGACTCTAGGTTGAACAGATGTAGGAATACCTTCGGTTACCTGGTGTGCAAGGATCAAGTACAGCCTGTTCTGATGCCAATGCTTTCCTGGTTTGGAGCTGGGGGGTGGGGGTTTTTTGGTTTGGTTTCTTGGGGGGGCGTGGGGCGTTTGGGTTTTGTTGGTGTTTGGTGTTTGGCGTATTTTTTGTGATGCATGACATTCAGGAGGCAAGTGGCACCCAGAATGAATAGCAGGTTTGCCGTCTGCCTTCATGTGACTATTTCTATACATGTCCAAGCATTTGTAATTGATGGGTACATTCAAATTAAAATATGTATGTATATGTATATATATATATTTATTTTTTTTAGTACTAGGCCAGTCAACTAAGTATTTAAACAGGGCAGGGGACAGGTAGCACCCACATGAAGTATAACACTATTACATAACCAGTTACATATGGTTAAGGTTGCTGCTCCTGACATTTACTTTCTGCTGTTGTAGGTATATTTGACCAAGCCACGGATTCAAGCTCATGCATGTTTTCCTAAAGGTGTGGGTCTATAACTTGTGCTTGCAGATGCAGCAGCTTCTCCAGAGCTGTTTGCTTAGTCTGCATTTGAGATTAAAAACCACATCCAAACCCAAAAGATTATATATGTATATACATATATTTCTACCACAAGTTTCAAAGGATTAAAAGTCCTAAGCATATATAGGAATCCGAAGTAATGTGATCTTGGGCAGGGTGGGGGCAGGAATTAAGAATCATTTTTTGTTGCCTTCTCTGTATGAAAATGAGCACCCCAGTATTGTCATTATTAACAATTTGATGTCATGGTTCATATGCACAGTGCTTGCTAATTCTGTTAAAGCAGTATTTTCTCAGGTAGGCTTAGCCTGATTTTGCAGAGGAATAAATTATACCCTGAAAACTTCTTATTAACAATACAGGAAAGCTTATATAACAGTATGCAGCAAACATCTGTACTTGCATGCAGGTTAGAAAGTATTTTTACTCTTACTAGTTGAGCACAGCAACTTCACCACCCTGTATACTGCCTAGCTGCTTCACTTTGTTGCTGACCTGCAACTGACTGACTCCTGTTTGCTACTGGAAATCATGATATTAGCACATGATTTAAAGAGAAAATTTAAGAGATTATTTTCTGCATATTTATTTATAGCTCTATTTATTAGGTATTTAGCTGGTTGAATGGAAAATGTGATGTCTCTAAAGGTTTATGCAAAAAGTGTTATCAACCTGGAATGTCAGCTGCTTTGTAATTTAATAATTGCATATTGTTAAGACTGTTGCTATGTTTGTGATCAAAAACTCTTTATCTACCACTTGTCTTAAATGCCAATGTATTACCATTGTTTTTAATGTCATGTGATAGTGTATATGGTTTGTGTTTTAGATGTGACATCCAAATAGAAACAGTCCTATCACAGCTGGAACTGTTTTAAGTGCCATTTATCACCTTTGTGAAGGAGTAACAGATGATTTATTCCTTCATATGTAATATACCATAAATTTGACCTCACTTCTTTCACACATGCAGAACTACTGCCTTTTCCAAATTTGGTTCATCAGACAAGAAACTAAAATACAGGAGGTAGTACACTATTGCAGACAGCTCTGGATTACTGTTTCCATTTGAGTTCTCTAGAAATTTTGTTTCAGAGATGTCATTCATTTAAGTGCTGTATCATACCTGTGACGTTGGTGTTTGTGTCTTACGCATTACCCATCTTTGACAAGAACTATATCCAGCATTGGTTTGTTTCCAGGTATCATTTAGACTTTCAGAGACCTGCTCCAGTTGCTGATCTCTACCCCTTAAATTAACACTACAAAAGATAGTTTTTCTCCTTTTCTGACTAAGAGTATATTCTTGCTGTCTCCAAGACCTTGTAATTCCTTTTGAAAAACAATGCTCTTTCCTGAATTCTAAAATACATTCTCTTAAGAGCTACAACCCTTCTTGTGATTTAAATGCATTCCTAGCCCCCTTGACAGCAATAGAAAAAAATAATGGCAACTTTTAACACTTAACACCCATGAAAGCCAAGCATTCATCTCCAGTTGGGACCAACACTTGTTCTGTGCTCAGGCATCCCCAAAATAGTTAACAGCAACACAAAGGTAAAGTATTGCTCTCTGAAATTAACATTAGCCAGGCTACATCATTAATTTCTTCACTGTAACATGTACCATAAGAGAAAGGTAAAATTGGACCATGGAAATTTATTTATTTACAAAATTAGATCTTAATTTACATCTTGGAAAAAAGATACTGGCCAATACATTTAATGTTCTTACTTGGCCATTATAGTCAGTCTGTACTAGGTGAAAAGGACACAGGTATTGAAGAAAAATCTCCCTGCACAAGGGAGATTTACTACAGGGAGTATGCAGAAGTCTATGCAGATCCCCATAGATAGTTTTTAAAAAACAGAATTCAGGTTTTACAAAATTCATTAAAATTATTTGATGGCAAGTTTAGTAACTGAGATATGTGCCAGTTAATTTCAACCATAGCACCATAATTCATGATATGAAGGTTTCATATCAACATAAAAAGCCTTAGGATTAAGATCTTCTGAAGTAGGCCTCAATTTGTTCCAGGGTCCGTCCTTTTGTTTCAGGAACATAAAAGGCTGTAAAAGTTATATTGAGGCAGCAGAATGCTGAGAAGAGCCAGAACGTGCCAGAGGATGTTAAGAAACCCTGAGGGAAGGGAAACAACAAAAACCACATTATTACAGCTCACTACTGCACAATTACCGTTCTGTATTGCCAGAGAAGACTATGGCCCAAGGCTCGCTCAGGAGCATCTTTAATAAATTTCCCTATGAAAAGAAAGTTCAGGTTGTAATTTATGATGCTTACTATAAAATCATGAAATTCTTTGGTTACCAAGAAGGCCATAACCCAGTTTGTTAACACACAAGCACCACTCAATATGCCTCTAGCTTTAAGTGGGAAGATTTCGGATATCAGCAGCCATGGAACGGGACCCCAGCCAAGGGCAAAACCTGCAATTACAAACAGAAGAGAATAAATGCAAGTACATATTAAAGGGAGGACTGAATTATGCCCAAGTTAGTCAAGAGAGGGGCATGCAGTTTTCACTTGACTCTTGGACGATACCAAAAACAGTACCTCTACCAGAAGGAACGAGCATAAATTATTTTAGGGCAGCATGATCAACACTAGTGCATTTTACATCAAATTAATTACAAGAATATTCTTAACAAGCAGAACTTCTTGCCATGAAATCTCTGAACTGGTAAGCTTAAAAACTGACCTTGTTTCTAACAGCTGCTGCCTTGTACCACCACAGAATTCAGTGTGGCTCAGACACTAACAAAGACTGTTTTTTCCATTAACAACTGTAAAGCAGTTTAACCTGAACAATTAAGACTTACTATTAGCACAAGGAGGTATAAACTCATTTTCTAGGAAATTGGCTTTACTAAGCTGCTAGCTCTATCACCAGGGTTGTGACCCCCCCCAGCCCAACTGTGCAGTATATACTGAAAAGGTCTGTCAAAGACATAACTCATTTCCATTCATCAATAATGTGACAAAATGGAACAAAATTGACACATTCATCAGAAGGTTTGAGTTTTGTGTAATGGCTAGTTAGAAGCATGTTCCACTTACCAGCAACGAAGAGCCCTAGGCTCACTACTGCAAGCCAGGATATGCCGCTTTCTGTTCCTGGGGATGCTGAATTTAGAGTGAACCATGTATCAGGATTTGATGAGTTGTTTCGATTTGAAAGGACCATTTTAAAGTAAAGCCCAAACAATGCAGTACTGAGCGCCATGATTATCCCTGAAAAGTAAGCAATAACCCAAGCTGTCACTGGTTGCCAGCTGGGTATTCTTCTGAGAAACAGAACATAGTTGGTCAACCAAATCTAAGATATGCTGGCCCTCACAGAAGTGTTTCTTAAAAGATACTGTTCTTGGAAATAAATACTGGCCCTGACAGGAGTGAAAGATGCCAGACAAGCATTCTAAACACTAGCCAAACAATATTGTCTTGACAGCAGTCATTAATATTGAGTGTGCAGCACAATAACTATATCAAACGGAATTCATTTTATTTAGCACATTACTTGTAAGTTAAAATTTTTAACTATAGTCTTATATAACTAAGCACCACAATGTCCCATGAAAATAGCAGCAGCCATGGAGAAATTACTTTGAAACAGCCATTTGTTGACAACTTGGGTATGAGAATGTATCATGACATCACTGAATCTCATTAAGCAGAAAAAATTATCGCAGTACAAGAACCGTCTCCGTGACATAGCTATTTCAAAATAAAATCTGGCCTGGTAAGAAGACAAAAAGATTGCCATATGTAGTTTCAAGGGGTTCCACCTACAATGTATCTATAAGGTGATAGTTTCCTCTTATGAGTTTAAGTCTATAGTTATACCAAATCATAAATACAAAACCACTTAAAAAATGCATACATTGCAATACTTAATTCCCCCAACAGTTAAGAATATAGTTTTGGTACTACATATAGTAACATGTTTTACCAGATATGTAAAGCAGCACTTTTCGTCCAGTTTTATCTATGGTAAGTGCAGCCACAGCAGTGAAACATACTTGTATGGAACCCACAACAACAGAAGCCATTCTGCTGTCCTGAAATAAAGTAAGAGGTAGAGAGAATTTGCTCTTCCAGGCTGGTAAGAGGATCACTTATCAAGCATTGCAAAAGCATTTGTTTCATGAATCTGAAAGAAGACAAACTATGCCACAGAAATTAAGGGGGAAGGGGGGAGGGTGTAGCTAAAAAAAAAAAAAAAAAAAATCACCAATTAACACAACATACTGGTCTCCTAATAAACTTTAAAATAAGCCACCACTTCTTCCTAGAGTTTCACTGTCTCTGAAACACTGCTGACAAAAAAAATTTATATACAAAGATGACTATAATAGGATTTCTATCACTATCAAAGTTTCAGACCAGCAAAACACAACATACTTTCCCCCACCCACCCCCCCCAAAAAAACCAGAACATCAGGTATGCCAGAGTAACACAGTCAAGAGGGTATCTAGAATCCAAACCAAAAAAGCCCACTAAAACCCAAACACTGTTACTTATAACAGAGGGAGGATCATTATCAAGTCAGTTTGTTATGTGTTTTAGACTTACTATAGCACTAACTAAGCTCAAACTATTATAGACATTTGGCAGTTTGGAAACACACCCCGATTACCTTGACGTTTGCATCTTCAAAGATAGTTTCTGCATAAAACATAACTGCATTAATGCCTGTTACTTGCTGGAAGAACATGAGAGCCACACCAATAAGAAGTGGCCTGTAGATTGAGGGGTTCTTAAATTCAGAGGGATTCAGTCCCTGTTAAAAAATTAAGCAATGACTTGGTGAAAAATTTCCTCTTTCAAATCAAAGAACAAAACCAACAAAAACCTCTTCAGAACATTTCAATCTGTTCAAACTTAGTAAGTTTTCCACCCCCCCCTTTAGCAAAACTAAGTGCCTTAGCAGTAAAAATGTTTACATTTGAGGTATCTGAGAACTCCTGAAAATCATTTTTCCCCTTTTCTCAGGTTCTAGAGTGTGATGGGTTAACCCTGGCTGGACGCCAGGTGCCCACCAAAGCCGTTCTATCACTCCCCCATCCTCAGCTGGACAGGAGAGAGAAAAATATAACAAAAAAGCTTGCAGGTTGAGATAAGGACAGGAGAGATCATTCACGAATTACCGTCACGGGCAAAACAGACTCAGTTTGGGGACAATTAACTCTATTACAAGTCAACGAGAGCAAGGTAATGAGAAATAAAACCAAATCTCAGAACACCTTCCCTCCACCCCTCCCTTCTTCCCGGGCACACCTTCACTCCCGGATTTCTCCACCAAGCCCCCCCAGCGGCACAGGGGGACGGGGATGGGGTTTACGGTCATCACATGTTATTTTCTACCGCTTCATTCCCCTCAGGGGGAGGGCTCATCACACTCTTCCCCTGCTCCAGCGTGGGGTCCCACCCACGGGAGACAGTCCTCCACGAACTTCTCCAACGTGGGCCCTTCCACGGGGTCACAAGTCCTGCCAGAAAACCTGCTCCGTGGGCTCCTCTCTCCACAGATCCGCAGGTCCTGCCAGGAGCCTGCTCCAGTGCGGGGTTCCCACGGGGTCACAGCCTCCTTCGGGAACCCACCTGCTCCGGCGTGGGGTCCTCCACGGGCTGCAGGTGGATATCTGCTCCACCGTGGACCTCCATGGACTGCAGGGGGACAGCCTGCCTCACCATGGTCTTCACCACGGGCTGCAGGGGAATCTCCGCTCCGGTGCCTGGAGCATCTGCTCCCCCTCCTTCTTCACTGACCTTGCTGTCCACAGGGTTGTTTCTCTTACATGTTCTCACTCCTCTCTCCATCCCAACTTTTTTCCTTCTTAAAAATGTTATCACAGAGGCGTTACCACAATTGCTGATTGGCTCAGCCTTGGCCGGTGGCGGGTCCGTCTTAGAGCCGGCTGATATGGGCTCTCTCGAACACAGGGGAAGCTTCCAGCAGCTTCTTACAGAAGCCACCCCTGTAACCCCCCCGCTACCAAAACCTTGCCACACAAAACCAATACATAGAGACAGAAATTGACAGTACTTTGTAGAGAAAGTTAACATGAATGAATCCAGGGTTTACAGGAACCAAACTTCAATGATTAGACCTGCCTATTTAAGCAGACATCTCACAAGAGGCTAAATGATGCCTTTAGAGATGCAAGAGAGAATGCATTCATACAACACAAACAATAGGAAGTTAGTGTTAGAGGTGTTGAACAGTCCTACAAAATTGCTAAATAAAGCAAAAAACTAGATAGCTGATATACAATTAACAAGATCGTGAGCCTGACTGCTACTAATGTACACTGATGGCAGCCAACGGTGATAGCACTTGCAGCTGAAAGGTAGAGGAAAAAAGATTCAATCTCACTTGCTTCTTGAGTATCATTTGTATGAGGGAACAGGTTTGGACCACCATTTGTAGAAAAGGCTATTAACTAAGCTTTGGTAAAATCCTTTTAATTACACTACACGCTTTCAGATGTTACCTCCATACGAAAAGGTTTTTAAGAGTACATCAGATTCTCATCACCTCTTCCTGAACACCAGCTTCAATCTGCCTACATTCCCATTCATGGTCCACATGTGGTCCCCGCAGAAAGCGCAAAGAGGCTATGGCTTCTGAGCGTTTGCTCCGATTCAGCAGAAATCTTGGTGTTTCAGGCATGAAGGACATGAACAACAGCATTATGCAGGATGGAAAAGAACACAACACTGCTAGCCAGCGCCATTTCAGTGTTACTCCTGGGTAACAGAAAGGAAAGATAGAGGACTATGAACACCAATTAGTTGTACAAACAAATTAACATTTACTTTCAATTCTTCAGTGTAGTTCTTTCATTACACATACTAATTATTTTTTATAACCTACAGCCCTAACGTCAATACCTGCAATGTAGGCTCCCAGTATGCCAGTCACCACCATCAACTGAACACAAGAGCCAAGCATACCACGGACTTTAGGATGTGATACTTCAGATATATACACCTAAAACATAGGGAGAAAACATCTAATAATTACTTTCATTCAATTTTGGATCAAGGACTTGATAAGTAATTCATTTCTGAAAAAAACACAGATGCATTTCCTAGTAACTCCTGTCCTTAAAAAAAGCCTCAATAAAATGGAGTGAGTAGAAAAGTACTCTCTCAGAAATGTATGCTGGCATTATGAAAAACCCTGGAAAAAAGGGAGGACCTAAGCCAGAAGAATGTTGATGCAGTATCAGTATCCCAAAGGTGAATAAACTTGCATTAGTAAGAGCTTCCTTTGTTAGCCATATTCAACAAGAAACACATCATTGCAAAGCAGTCTAGAACTGGGAAGAGTCTTTGCATAAACATGTAGCCCAAGCCACATATAAAACTGTTTGCAATGAAAGTTTTACATTTTTAATTCAAAATAAAGAGTGCAAATTATTTCATTCTCCTTGAAGTTCAAAATTGACAGCTCATCTTAACACAGACTATATGAACAGCATTACACCTCATCCAATATTTGGGATCAACTTAAACTTCTCAGCTATTTTTTAATATATTGACCCCAAGTCAACAGCTACAGTTTAGCTGTATACATAAAAAAGAAATCCCTCATACTTATTACATACAATTATTTCTAAGGTCACAGTTCTTACTTCTTCTGGAAGGAAAATAAGTAATCCTTATTTCAAGAATAATTTAGAGCTACAAAAACTTGGTATTACATATGACAGTCTCCTCCCTCATCACTGCAGTCACATAGATCTTTTACCGTTGGCTGTGGGTCAAGGCCTTTACATATGGGAACCTAGAGCTCAGCTCCACGAAACAAAGAGAAAGCAGTCGTTGATAAAGCAGACAGAATTCCTCCAAAGACATTAATACAATAGACTAAGCAACCAAACATCCAACAACAGAGACAGTTGCACAAGATTATCATTTAGACCCTACCACCCTGAATCTATTAGATTTTATTTTTATAACCATCTAGATTGATAAAGAACGAGCATTTATTCCATACTTCATTACAAGTACTTCAACCTTTGATTTTTAGTTTGGACCTCACTTCAAAAGCTAGAAATGCTGGAACCACCAGAAAAGAAACAAATTTGAATTCTAGATAATTTATTTCACACTACTACCTATTCAGCAAGATCCAAAAGGCCAAATAATACCAGAGAAGACAGATGACAACAGAATGTATTATCTCTGTTTCCCTACTGCACATATATTCCTGAATGCATGGGAAAAGTTAATATTCAGAAGATAACAGTTAAATGGAATTAGAAGGCACTATTTGGCATTACTCTAGGATGAGTGAGCAGCCATAGTTTATCTGCAAAACCAAGAAGTTGAAGTGAAATATAAGACTATTAGAAGCAGCTGGTAATAAAAAATAAAAACCAAAACCAAACAAAACAAAACACCAACAAAAAACCAAGCCAACTCCCCCCCAATGTTACATATGAGGAATTTGAAGAGATAAATATTACTAGACTATAGGAGAACATAAACAGAAGCGATCAAATAAAGGACTAATAATCTGAAAGATCACATCACTGTATCAGGAATGCATAGGACAGACGTGCCACTAGAAGAAACAAGATCTCTTCTATTTATATTTTCTTAATGATTAAAACCAATCAAAATCAGTTTCTTCTAAATCCACAAGCTGCCTTGGCTACAGTTATTCAGTTACTTTGCCCAAGCTACCTATAATAATGCTAAGGAAAAAGAAACACACACCCCACCCCACCCCCAAACAAACAAACAAGCCACCACACATGCACACACACACACACACAGAAAAACATCTTACTTACTGGAACGACAAGCGAAGTAATTCCACTGGCTAAGCCTGTCAGCGTTCGTCCAAAATAAAGCATCCAAACATTCTGAGCAGATATAATAACTATATATCCAAAAACGTATGGTATTGAGCACAGCATTAGACTCAGCTTTCTCCCAACTTTATCCACAAGATAGCCTCCTAGTATTCCTCCGGCAGCAGCTCCTAATGTTACTACTGACTTCAAAAAACAAGTAAAAAAAAATTATTTTACATATATATAAATAAATATAAACAACAGACAGCAATTCCTTTTAAAATCTTGAAAAGTAAATAGCAGCTTCCAAAAAAACGTGCAAGAGTATGCAGGTGTTTTGAAAATCAAAATAAACATTAACTCGTTGATCAAAACACCGTCAAGGAGCATATACACACAGAGACTTACCCCAAACCACGAGGCTTGACTGCTGTCCATTCTTAATTTAGGATCGCTGATCTTCCTCAGCTCTGGAATAACAGGTGAGCTATAGCCTAGCACGAAGCCAAAGCTCAGGGGTCCCAGGACAGCAGCGAACGTGGCCAGGTACAGCTTCTTGTTCTGCACCCTGAGGCGGAAGAGGCCGACAAGGATCACGCCGCCCCCACCTCCGGCCCCTTACGAGGGCCGATAACGCTCCGGGGGGGCCCGGCAGAGGGCTCGACCCAGAGCTCGCCTCGGCCGCTCCCCGCTATCGGCCGCGGCCGAGCTCCAGGGCAGCCACCGCTGTCCCCGAGCCCGCCAGAGCGGCGGGTGTCGCGGCGCGCTCACCTGGGGCAAGAGTCCGAAGCGGCGTGGCCCAGCAGGCAGCGAGACTCCTCTGCAGCCATGTTCTGCCTGCGGGGAGCGCCTCGGCGCGGCCAGCCCCAGCCACTTCTCCGCGGGCAGCCGCTGCGAGCCGCGCGCCCGGCCGCGGCCTCGGTTCAGGCTGTGCGGGCAGCGGTAGCGGGGCAGGGCGGGGCAGGCCCTCGGCCACGCTGCCGGCCGCGGCGCTCGAAGACCCCAGTCCGGCCTCCGGCCGGAAGCGGCTCGAGTGTGGCAGCGGGGCGCGATGACGTCTGGGGAGCGCGCCGGAAGCTGCCTGGCTCCGGAGAGCAGCGGGCTCTGCGGAGCGCCTTCCCCCCGGGTGCCGGCCGGTTCCCCCGGCGCAGGGGCCGCGGCGCGG